GGGCTTTAGTCAAATGGTCAGACACGACCGGGACAGCACCACTGTCTCACAGAAAACCGGCGTGAAGTGATGCAATAGGTTCACCTTATTGTTTACTGCGGTGAGTGAGATTTCCGGAGATCCCCCCCTTTGAGAAATATGAAGTAGCAGAATAAACCGAGACTAACCCAGGCGGACCACACGCGCTCGCTGTTCTATAAAAAACAAAAAATATTTTATCAGTGATGGTACTCAAGGATAAAACTTGCATTTATTTCGTTATACTTCCTTGAAGCGTATCTTTCAGCATTGTTTATTTATCAACGCAATTTACACATGGAAATATAAGCGAAATTCTTACGTTTCACAACACAATTGTTATTCTCACAATAGGTTGTTTTTATTTTATGTACGCTTTGGTAAATTACACTTATGCTGATAAAAAGTGAACAAGGCTATCTGATCACTGCAACTGATTTTAAGTAAGCCATATTATTCCTGGGTTAAAAGTCTTTTATTAAAATGTATGTCTATTTTTGGTATTCACTTTTATATACCAAATAACTCTATAGTGGAGTGTAATGTTTATTTATTGAGAAGAAATATACACCAAATAACTTTAATATGTAGAAACAAAAATAAGAAATAAATTTAAGAGTCTGTATCTTAGAACATCAAGTATAGAATATTCTGGTATAAGGCGTGGGACCCATCATTGGTTCTAGAATAGGTAGGTTGAAAGTTCTGTGCGTATGCTGTACCTGGAAGCTGAATGATAAGAGTACATATATTTTTCTTAACGGTAGCATACATACTCATAAATACATAGTAACAAAAACAGTACAAGCTTTTTACAAACGCATTTCCCCCAGGATACCGATGTACGATGAACTAATATCGTAAGCAGGTTGTCCGATAATTATTTATTGTATGAACAATAAAACTGGTCATTATCCTGGTGGATCCGTAAGATGCTACGGCCCTGGTATGATAGCTGCCTAGCTTTAGGTTGTGAACTGGTTTCCCCCTACAAAAGGCTAAATATATATATTCCATATATCCCAAAATTATATCACAAAACTAGTATGTATTGTTTTAAACGTAAGTATTACATAAGAGAATATTAATTATAATATGTAAATTATGATGTAATACGGCCCTTACGAATATGACCTAGAATTTGAGGTATTTTCTAACTCTAATATTATTACATTCAATACTGAAATCTACGTTTTTATTATATTTATCAGATAATAGTGTCAACGTTGCTTGCTGTATATATAGGAACAAAAGTGGTCAATAATATGTATTACAATTAAATTAGATAGATTTATAAAGCCGTTAAGCATAAGTAGTTTTAAATACACAGAGTCTGAGAACTAGGCTAAATTTACACATACATTTATTATATATAAAAAATATAGTAATTATTTTTCACCACTAAAAGTGCAGATAATATTTTTAAACTGTGCCCTTTCTTGCCATAGGACAAACTTTAGTGTCGATGAAAAGAAACTACTCTAAAGAAAGTTCTAGAATATGAGCTATATCGGATCGCTGCGTGAATCGTGCCAAGATCAAGTCAGGCATTTCCATCTGCGCCGGAGCGTGAAGATTCTCCACTTTCCCTCTTTCCTGCGCATTTTTGGAATGAGCAAATATCGCTCACGTCAACATGATCTATCAGCTGTCAGTACAATTTAATATAACGAGCCTAATTCAAATTAACATTATTCGTAAGTGAAAGTGGATTCTTTCATAGTACATCGTTTAAATCTATATAATAATTCGTGTTAATTAATACAAACCTGAAACAATTCGTGAAAACAATAATTAAAAATTTATAGATAACATTATGGCACAGAGGCAATGACTGTACTTTTTATTAAGAGTTATTTTTATCGAAAATCTTTAAAAAAAAGCGCTAGGCGCAGATTTTTTTGACTTATTATCTTAAATTTCAACCATTCACAATAAGATAGATATGTGTTTTAGAACGTAAACGCACAGCTTTGTAAGAAATGAGGTTAGATAAATATTTAAAAACATCTGTTCCTTCCGAACACTGTAAAACCTATTTCCGCATCGTCCTAAATATTGACGTGAAATTAATAAAAACATGTTACAGTGGAAATTCTGTGCATAAGGATAATATTTTAATAAAAAATTCAACTAAACAAATTATTATCTAATCTTAAGATAATTTTAACGATATCTCACTTTAGCGTTTATATGTAATCTACAGCGTATTAGATACATGTTATCACTACATAGTATAAAACAAAGTCGCTTTCTCTGTCCCTATATCCCTATGTATGCTTAAATCCTTAAAACTAAGCAACGGATTTTGATGTGTTTTTTTTATTAGATAGAGTGATTGAAGAGGAATGTTTATATGTATAATAACATCCATTAAATAGTGGATATTACTGTTATTATTGAGGTTTCTAACGTGATGTCGTAAATATTTAATTTTTCCCGCTTACATTGCAAACGCAGGCTGAGCCCTACGAGATTTATCATAATAAATTACAAAGTATTGTACACATTGAAAAGGTCTACAGAAAACTCCGCGATGGTATATGTCTATCTCTTATGGATATCCCACAATATTTTTTTTTGTCATTTACTTTTTACGACAAATAATGGCTAATTTTCGAAGCGATTTTAACCAATACAGCATTAATCCTTATCCAATTAAATACCTTAAATACATTGTTGATTTAATATAGATCTATATGGCCCTTTACATCATATGATTTAATGATAGCAGGAAATCTTCATGGTATAGGTAAAGGGGAATTGTTTTACTCAAATATAGCGCGTGCGGGCCACGGGCAGTAATGAATAAATCAAAACTGAGTGGATCGATTTTAATCATTTTTAAAGAGTGACATACGAGTAGGCTATATATTTTATACCCGTGCGAAGCCGGAGCGGGCCGCTAAGTTTTTATAAACAACGTTCACAGTTTTTCTGTAGTGTATTTAGTATCAGCATTACACCCGTGCGAAGCCGGGGCGGGTCTCTAGTATAAAATAAATTTGAGGTATAAAATTTTATTGTAATATGTTTAAATCTATTGTGTTACGTATGACAATTTATGATTGGCGCCTAGAGCTTAAACGTTTTATTTCAATGTCCTACATAGCGATAGTCGTGATTATACCGCATTCCTGCCTAACGCAATCGGAGAGAACGTTGACGGAAGGTCGATTATTCATACGGAACCGTGATTTGCACAGTTTGTCATGTTTTTGCAGACATTTTAAGCATAATAATTCATCTACAAATATTTCTGGGATCAGATACTAGAATTGACTGAATGTTGCTGATATGTAATTTATTATATATAGATCAACTAACGTACGCAATTAAAAAATAAAATCAGTGGCGCTACTTTTTTTAAGTAGTTTACTGACCCTCAGGTTTCTGTATCTGTTTCATGCTCATTTGTCAATGTAATAGTCAAATAGGTAATCAGCCTCCTGTGCCTGATACAAGCCTTCCGTCGTTTTTTGGTCTAAGCCAAGCCGGTTTCCTCACGATGTTTTCCTTCACCGTTCAAGCAAATGTTAAATGCGCACATAGAAAGAATGTTTATTGGTGCACAGCAGGAGATCGAACTAACGACCTCAGATATGAGAGTCGCACGCTGAAGCCACTACTGGCCAACACTGCTCGTATACTAAACATGCTAACATCAAGCGCTCAGTACTACTCGGACTCCCAGATGTCAAATCATGTCAGATTTTGACATACGGGAGGCTCTCGGCGCTAATCTCGACGCGAGATAAAAGAAAGGGCTAAACAAACGTCAATTTTTAATCGATCTACTCCCTTGCCATAGTGTCCAGGGACTTTTTCCATCTCTTTTTTTACTAAAAAGATACATAAAATAAAACCATACTCATTCGTGTTACGGTTTTCGCGTGATACGACCCGACCACATCAGTAATATTATTATTAACAATATTCATGGGCGAGCCTGGGCGCAATTGCTTGCGAGACCCGTTCTTTCATTTTTGTTTGCCTCCTTTACAAAATTAATAATTTTATCACAGAACCGTTCCAGGCACGGTCTGTGCGTCGTTAACATGTTCAGTAGGCCGTTACGGTCTACTGTCATCTGTGTTTGTTGCTCCGGTGCGAATATAGGGCAATATATAAGCATATATGTTCTACGGTTTGTTCGCCATTATTGAAGGTATAGAACTTGTATTCATTTTAAACCTGTGAAACGTCATATTGTAGTAATTTGACCTCAGTAAGTAATGATTGTAAAATTATTTACAAATTATACTCGCTGGTTGTTGTCATTCGAAGTGCACGCAAGCCTTTCTTAATTATATAAGTGGTTCCAAATTGAAGTCTTATTTTTACCTACTACAATTAGTCTTCGAAAGTCCCTTCAATTAAAGGAATTTGTCTATTAAAATATTCTGCTTAACGTCATTAGGATTTGTCTGATCTAATGACGCAGTGCAAGATTTTGTAATAATTTGCAGTTACATAACACAAAACCATTAAGCATCACACCGACCTTCTGCAATTACTTACCTTTCTTTTATTAATTTTCAGCGTAAAACCAAACTCAACTTATGGAAATTTGTTATGTGTAATTGATTATTGATTTGCAAAAGAATTCACTTGAATGATTCTGTACGCACGAATAGTCGTACTCGAACGCTTTCCAATATTAGGACTTTGAAAAAAAGTTATGAATATTCATATGAGATCTGCATAACTTTTACCGTCGTTTTACATATTGTATCCAGCCTGTACCTATAACTAGTTGTTAATAAACTTTCGAATGTCTATCAATATATGTAGGTATATAATACCGATACACGAATTACGATACAAAAAATTGTTCTATGCATGTTTTTTCTTATCAGGCCGATTAACTTAAGACAAAGTATTTAAAGATAAAACCAGCTTGCGAGATTGGTTTTTGCTGCCAGTTTCCATACTCCACCTAGCCACGAGGGCTTTTTTCTTATCTCTGAATTTAAGTCTTCATGCCACAAAGCATCAAGCTCCCGCAGAATGCAGGGTTTGCTTTCCATTATGCAGTATGTTCGTCTAAAAGTTTAAAATATCTCGCACATCCCGATTAATCGAAATGCATTAATACAGAAGAATATAACTTGAATATTTTCCCATTCAATAAAAAAATGTATAACGTTTTGGTAATATTAATTATTTTTGTAACATTTGTTATTTTATAGAGATTTCCACCGGATAGTTGGAAGATCATACTTTCCAAGAATTGTATTACATATATGATTTTTATAACAAAACTGATTGAAATTATCTACGGGAAATTTTATTTTGTAAGCATAATATTAAATTTCTATCATCTTCTTTCCAGGCTAGCCTTCGTCAATTGGATCTTTCATTGCTCTCAGAGCTTTGGACGCTTAGCGAGGCCATGGCATCTTGGCGCCGACAGTTGGAGCGAGGCACGCGACTTAGACCCGCGCCGCCACCACCACCACCACCCCACTACCTTAGAACCTAAATAAACAATATATACCTGATTGCATTTTGTTTAGTTTGGATATTTACTACGGTACCCATAAAATCCTTTGCTCCTAAATATATCAAATACATCTCAGTACAATAAAAATCAGTTTTACTCTAGAAGTATTTTAAAAATAAATATGTATACGAAACAACCTATTGCAGATAAAGATGTTTTCGCTACTTACAGAATTTGTTTGCATATTTACTATAACTATCTAAAAATTACACTGAAAAATATGATACATGACACCATTTGAATCCAAATTTAAATTAATCATAACGGTCGATGATTGACACGTTTATGTAGTGCCATCTATCTCGGTCTTGAATGTGGTTATGTTGCACTCATAATAGGTGCTTAACATATTTGTGCTAATTGTAAACCAAATTGTCCGTGTTGGATTGAAGAAGAAATGTATCATTGTAATGATAGATTACTAGCATTGGTATATAAATTAGGGGGCCTTATGTATATAACTTAATCTTTGTAAAATGCTCTTCTATTGACATCCGCCTACAAAGACCCAGGTTTAAAGAACCTGTATTATTAATTTCAATTATAAAAAACAATGAAGTATCTATGACATCATTTAAATACTAAGAATAAATTTAATATAATAAACAGTGTGTTGTAAAAATAGTAATTTAGTTGTCGTGTCGCCATGCACAATAACTTAGTGGTTGAATAAATATATATGTTTTATATTAAGTATGTAAGAACCTATTTGATTCACTCTTAACTTATACTGACTCAGATTCCGAGTTATTGTGCATGACTAGTGAATTTTTTAATGATTAAAATTTGGAAAATAAAGGTTGTTTTTTATTCCAGTATACTATGCTTTTTAAGAAAATTTTGTATAAAAAAAACATTCTCTCATGGCTTTTTCGACAACGCACTTGCGAGCCTTCTGGCAATGTGAGTGTCCATGGGTGGCAGTATCACTCAACATCAAGAGAGCCTCCTACCCGTTTGCCTCCTATTACATAAACAAAATAAAAAATTCCCTCATGGCTATTTACGTATATATAGCCGGTTTTTTTAAACAAATGAAACTGTATCAGACCATATACCACAGTGCTGAAATGTAATAATATTTTAATAGAACGCAGAAAACATTTAAACGACATAAAAATAGTAATACATATATTGGCGATATGAATAATAGTTTAGTGACAAGTCCCTAATATGAAAAAAAAAAAGTATAGGTACTAAGTGAAAAAATGAGTTTCCCTGTATTATATATGTATATAGGAACAAAAGAGTGTGCTTGTTAAGAAAGTGAATTATTATACGAATTAGACTTATTTAAGTATGAGTGAAAAAGTGTCAGTTAAAATATTTAGTTTTATTTCCATTAACCTACACGTACCATAATCTCGTTTTAGTATGTTTCTGCAGAAGATGTATATAATTTATTTTAAACGGGATTAAATTTTATGAAAAATTAACTTGGACATTACTAATTAACGAATTTAAACAATGTTTAAATATATATTTATAGTGATAAAGAGCTGTTATCTATATCTGTGGTGATAAAATAATTTTTAGCCTATGGCAAAATGTCAAATAACAATGTAGGCTGTAGCTATCAGATTAGATATGGGGCCTCATAGCCTAGCGGTCTTATTAAGTGGCAGCTAGGTGAGGGGTACCGGGTTCGATTCCCGGTTCGAGGGCAAGTTTTAATTTAATTTAAATTTGTTCTCGGCCTTTGGGAGGGTTGTGCGGTACCGGGCGAGTGCCTAAACCGTACATGGAGGACACGGTAGAATTTCTAAGGCAAAAAGGACGAATTATAAAAATCCTATACTTGACGCTGGCTAATGCACAAATCGTGCCAGAGCCGTAATAAAAAAAAAAAAGATTAGACATCAATAATTGTTACTTCTGAAGCTTGACAATGTCGTTGACAAAGTCACACTGATGGGTGAAATTAAAAAAAATTGTTAGCATTTAAACTTTAAGTTATTTTGTAAACTCAAAATAAACAACGATTTATATACAAATCATTACATTCCGGGGAAATTTTAGAACTAATAAATTGTCGCTAACCGATGTCAGATACCTCTATACGCGCACAACAGGCTCCTAAAGAAGACAAACCACCTTCGAAAATACCGGAATCTGTTAAGGTTAGATAAACTTATTAGTAATTTTGTTAAATATTTTTTATATATAATGTATTTATAATCAATAGTAATTTCAATACGTAACCCCATCCAGCTACTATTAGCTTGGGTATTGTAAGCCAAAAATTTTACTTATAAATCCTACTATTATTTTCAGAATATCATATCAATGGAGAAAGAAAACGAAACAAATGCTAGTCGAAAATCTCGAATCGATCTTAATGCGCTGCCGACCCGCCAGTACCTGGACCAAACTGTAGTGCCGATATTGCTCCAAGGGTTGTCAGCTCTTGCCAAAGAAAGACCACCAGATCCTATCAATTACTTAGCAGCTTATTTATTAAAAAACAAAACAACTTTTGAAAATAATAGCGCAAACTCTAATAATAACACTCCACAGAATCCACAAACATAGTACAAAACTACCTAAACTTTGTATTCTAAGTAGCAGCAATACTTAGGATGGACTTTGTCATCTCAAAATTTTGAATGAACTTCTTATAAATAACTCAAAATTTATGAACCATAACTATTGTACTATTCTAAGCTCCTGAATTTAAATATATTATTTTATTTATTGGTTAACATAACCAATGATTAGTATTAACTATTAATAATACAATTAGTAAATTTGTACTTTTAAGTTTTTTAATATAAATAATTAAAACATTGACTTTTTATATTTATGCCCTAAACTATAATACAGTTTTACAACAGATGATAAGAAGCAGTTTTCTGGTAAAATATAGAAAATAATTATAAGAATAATACTATATTGTTTCCTTATAAATCATAATTGCCCAATATTTTGTTGGTTGTGTAAATTTTACTATTGGATTAATGCAACAACAAACTTTAAAATAATAACTAAAAAACTTATTTTATATATGTATATTTTACTATTAGCAGATATACTAACACAGAAAAAATACTATTAATTAATTCCACAGCTCGTAGTATTAACCTTTCTGTTCAGTTTCCTCGAGGAATTGTTGTCTATGCATCAACCAAGAATCACTATCATCAACACCTTCTTCTTCGGCAGCTACTGAAGGTATCTCGAACTGAATAATATCAGTTACAATACTTTCTTCAGAGAGAGAAGGTATCGAGTCGTGTATTGGTAGAGGCACTGGTTCAGGTGGAAGAAATTCAGCCATATATGCTGTCACATTCCGTGCACGCCATATGGATATCTTACCTGAATACAAGTTATTATTTGGTTAAGAAAAATGGAGTATGTGATTTTCCTATTCTTAAAGCTGACAAAAGATTATGATTGTGTTGAAATGTCCACCAACAATAGTTTTATAGTTGGCACAAAATTTCAAAATTTGCATTTTTTCCTAAACCTTATATTTTGTTTGATTAAATTATGAACCTTCTTATTTTTGCTAAAGTATAAATTTATTTATGTTTTTTTATATATCACAGTAAGAGAACAGGAACTTTAAAGGCGTTTTTACATACCCATAGTTTCGTCTATTTCAACTTCCTCTTCCCCTCCCTCTTCTTGCCTTTCTTCTTTTACTTCCTTATCTTCTTTTTCTTCTTCACCCTCGCCGAATTCTTCTAATGCTGGGTCTTTCATTAACAAATAGAAACCATGTTGCATACAGTTGGTATCAAACACAAAACATCCAGGTCCTTTTGGCTTTCCTCTCAACCAGGACCCGTGATATCTCACTCGAGGGTATATAATTTGACCTGGACCTTCTATAGCACCTTCAACCCAGGTGCCCATAAATTTGATCTAAAACATTTGTTAACGTTTTTTACAATAAGGCAGCTTCAATCAAGATCGCGTTAAAGGGTCATATGCTACTATTATTTGTAGTATGTTTTTTTTTAAACATTTAGTTTTTTTAACTACATAAACAAAAGCTTAACCACTGTTTACTTATAGACCTGATATTCTGCAAAGAGGTATGTTCCTAAACCGTGACGTTTGCCCTTAAACCATGCTCCTTCGTAAATATCACCATTAGGATAGTAGTAAGCTCCAAAACCTTGTTTTAGGTCATGCCTCCAGTCTCCTTCATACCGAGATCCATCTGGATAAGTCATTGTACCAACACCATACTTCATTGCTTTACGCCATTCTCCTATAAATTTTATCTTATGATATCAATGATAGTTCACTTTTCGCATTATACGTCAAAACTTCAGATCATAATCTTATTAGTTAAAAGACAATAAGTCTAAATGCGCTATTTTAACTAAAACAGTCTTTCGTTTCTGTCAAATCATGTTAATGATTAAATGAGACAGATATGTATATACTTACTTTAATACAATGCAATTAGGCTGACTTAGATACAATGAATAAGTGAGTAAAACTATAAATGAACAAGCTCACTACTTCGTTTCTTAAAAACCTAAGCATGAATCTTCAAGAATATATAGTTTTGGTGTATCTTAGTCATTAATAATAACTTTCTCCGTGGCTAGTACTTAACATGTGTAGAATGGAGATTCTGCGTCCGATTCGCGGCAAACGATAATAATTGAAGGCTGGTAGGCGCGGAAGGCTGTTCATCTACACGCCTTAAAAGGTATTCAATAAAGAAATGTGTATTGTGTATGTATCACGCATTATTAAGAGGTTACGGGACTTAAATACTAATGTTTTAAGATTGTAAGAAAATAGTATTAATTATATGAACGAGAGAATGAAATCAATTTGCGATATGAATATTACACGTCACGTACGTAAGGAAAATTATGATTGTTATACATTACTCGTGTTCCTATCAACATCGTTAGTATACCTTCGTAGCGCGCTCCATTTTTGAATACATAGAGACCCTTGCCACTTCTCATCCCCCTACAATAACATCCCTGGTAGAAGTCTCCGTTTGGTAGAACAGCCCACCCTTCACCATGCCGCTCTCCGTCAATGTTTCGACCCCCTACATAAACCTAAACAAAACTGCCATTGCATACTTTGCTTTACAATTTCAACAGGCGTCATTTTATTGTCTTAATTTTTAATTATTAATAACGAGTTATTTACAGAAAAACCCTATGTAATTTATGTACTATATATGTAGAGATTATAATTTATATATTAATAGTAATGGCAACCACTACATATTATAAAAAAATTCTCCGCTGGCGAGTGGAGCGACAAAAAGAGCTTACTTAATTTACTCAATAAATTACTTTTCAAACTGTTTTAAAGGAAAATAGATTAAAGGGAAAATTCTTTAATTATTGAATTTTCCTTTATTATATTATTATATTTTTAAAATTTTCCTTAATTATATTTTTATTATATAATATATTTTTTAATTTAGCCTTTTTCGAATATTAAGTAAAATGTATATTCCTTTACATGTATAAAACAGAAAACTAGAACATAATACTACCGATTTGTTACATGAATGTCCATCAAATTTAATAAAAGCATTTAATTGATAAATTGAAACTGGGGTGGGCTATAACGGAGGTACGCGCGTTGAACTTTTTTCTTCTTAGCGATACATCGAGAGCATGTTCCTATAAACTAAAATTAGTGTCCCGAAGTTTCGTTACAAACTAACAAACTACAATTGTAGATAGAATAAAGCTAGTTGTTGTAGTATTCTACCCTTACAAAGTATGTATGTTCGTAATTAAATGAAGACTAAGAAACATACACCAATGGTATCAACATCCTCCGGCCCTTCGCCTTTCTCTTCGGCCATAACTGTTTATTAAATTACACTGAAGTAGAAACTAGTTTATTATTATTAAATCACTTTGATTTTCATTTTGACATTAACCTGCTTTATCATTGGCAATTTATAAAATAGAGCGTGCAGGTTTTACTCAAATATTTCAAACTAAAAGCGCAATACGAATTCTAATAAATAATGGTTTAGAGATATAGGATGTAGGCTACGATTAAAGAGTTTTGTCAATTGAAAATAATGTTCTCTCATTATAACGAAAGGAAGGGAAGTTGCTTAGCTAATAATAAAACGAAAAAACACAAAAATCTTTCATTATAAGTTCATTACATTACACAATAATTTATAGTAATAAATAATTAACACAAATCGAAGATATAATTTATATTATACTACTAAGCCTTAGAACTAAAGAACAGTTCACTAGGTAAGGTACATTATTTCTGCTTGTTAGTATTATTTTTCATGCTTATTTTACCTATAGCCTCAAAATCTATTGGTGCATATTAATTATACATTTTCAAGGAATAGTATAGCAACTTGTAATCTATTTAGGTGTGGAACAGTCTCCTTCAAAGGAATTGTACAGATCAATTATAAGAAAACTTCATATTCGTACTATATTATAGATAATTAACCTAGTTTTGTACTTTAATATTCCGAACGTACCACTACAATCTGGCAAGATGCTATCGCAGCAAAATATTTTTTGATTAATATATTACCACAGTCGTGTCATATACTGATTCTCATAAACAAGGTCAACTTTGTACTTACAAAGCATTTTTAGGTCATATGAGCCGACAACAGTCTCAACGACCTCAATCGAAGTGAATTCCAATCAAATACTGCATACTAAACACGTTTAACTCATTTCCCTTCATTACCTCTTGGCGTGTACCAGATTTGAAAAAGTTCCACAAAATCCCATATCACTCGTCATCAACGTGGAGGGGCCTGTGGAGGTGTTTCTTCAAGTTTACCCCAAACTACATTACACATTTCCCTCACTAAGGCTTGTTCTCCTGTACCGAGATCTGGAGCTGGTCTTCTTTTTTCCCTTTCAACCCGTTCCCTCACTTCTAATACTTGTAATGCTCGGACGACAGCTTCTGGCCTCTCACCAAGGCCTGTACCCACACCCTTTTCAGCCTCTAGTCTCCGAACTTTTTGTTCTAAGTCACGAACATATTGCACAGTTCTTTCAGCTAGTTGTGGGTGACTTATAGTAGTTATAGGAGCAGGGGGTCGTGTGATTTCTTCCGCATTTGTACCACTGCTACTTCCATCGCCATCATCTCTTTCCCTTCCAGTAGTTCTTCCACAATTAACGCACGCTCCTCTTTCTCTTTCTTCATCCAGATAAAGACACAATTCCTTTAGTTCTAAATTATCGTGGATTAATTCTTGTTGTTTATCATCTAACTCGCGGAGCTTGCTTTGATATGCTGATACTTCCTGTCTCATTACTGACGCTGTATATCTGCCAAAGCGTTGCCACTCCCTTGCTAATTTACGTCCTTTTTGACGATCGTCATCTAAAAAACAACATAAGTCTCGCAATTCTTGATTATCTTCGCTCAATCTGCGATTGGCTTCCTTTAATGTTTTTATTTCATCTAAAAGCGATTGTATTTGTCTTCTTTGGTCTGTAGATTGTCTTGGCCCCTCAGGTTCAACTCGTTTTGTAAATTTCAGCATGTCAGCCGATCTTCTATGAATTTGTTCCTCCTCTAAGTTTCGTTGTAAGCGATGGGTGTCGTCTGCGCTTCTAGCTCTGGCTGTAGATTCTACAGGTTCGTGCACAATGGCTTTAGTAACAATTTCTCCAGAAGGTCTCTGCATACGTAATGCTGCAGGGGGTATTGGATAGCCTAAGGGATAACCTGAAGGATATTTTAATTGTGGATAAGGAACACCTGGATAGGGCCCAGGAGTTGGTCCGGGGTAGCCAAAGGGATACTGCAACTTGTTGGGGTCAATTGCCTTGGTGAAATAAGGAGGTTTTAAGTCTTTAGTGGATGAGTCGATATTGACTTGCTTAGATCCCGCAGCGGCAGGTGGTGGCGGATGATAGCGCGGTGGAAAGTTGACCGGTTCCGAGCCCTGTTTACCTAGTTGTTGTTTATGTTTGTTAAACTGGTCCACGTCCTGGCTTATTGACATTGTCGGTGACGATTCGCTTTAGCTATCAGCAAATCGTAAATGCTTCGTGCACATTAAGTACATTTCCAAATCAAGATTGCGTTCGTACAATTGAAGCAACATAAGTTCAACGAATGGGCCTTGAATGAATGGAGGGGAACGCCGCCGGCTGCGTAGGCTTTGGACCGTGGCATTCGCACATAGACTCGTGACACTCACTACACAGGCTTAAATATTAAGTTTCTTCTTGTTCTAATTAGATGTTAGTGTTATTTGTAAAAAAAAAATTAAAGTTTGCACCTTTAAGTTATAATGATATCACGATAAGGTTATGTTTGATAGTTGTGTGGCAAGAATACGCGGGCGCGCGCGGGGCGCGTGTCTGTGACTGACTCGATGAAACTATACCTGCGCAGATGGTGAAGGCTTTTGTGGTTTTATGTCTCGCTCTACTACCGGCGTTTCATCTTGCCTGCGCGCACGCATGTATCGATCTGCTTATACCTAAACGATAGAAGCGACATTTTTTTTTATACTCTATTAGTTAATTAATAAAATTACAGCAGTTTAGTGTATTCAGAAGAACAGTCAGTAAATGTTTCAATAATATTTGATCGCAAAAGTTTCTTATCTGTACCTAGAATTTTAATAGCCTTTCAAATTATATATAAAATCGTTTTTGGATAAGAAAAATCTAATAATGTAATCTAGTAATACTATTTATATTTTAAAAAGGTAACAATTCGTCAACGTGAGCTTATGAATGTTTTGGTAGATTAGGGAAAAAAGTAGGACCCTAAAATTACCTAGCCAATTCAAACTTTGGAATATTGATAAATTCCATAACGTACACAAATTATAGATATATTTATAATATAATTTTATCTTATGGTTTAACATTGAAAAAAGTTAAAATATTGGTCTGGAACCAATATTGTACAGTAAGACCTTTTTTAAGGGTAAAAAAATTATGAAAACCAACAAGAAAATACTGCCAATATATTTTTATTTTTCCACATAAGCAAGTATATTGTTAGCCTTCTTCACGTTACATACGTCGCCGATTTTAGGTCTAACCCGTGCTAACAAGGAGTTTTCGTTCACCGCACGGTCAAGTATTAATTATGCATATATGAAGAAAAATCCATCGGTGCAAATTAAAGTTACGTTGGGGTTCGAACTTCGAACGCAAGACTTGAAGGTAGAGAATCACTCAAGCACTAGTATAGGGTTTTGGGTACGCAAGCCCTTTATAATTTAATAAAACTACTAAAGAATGAGCGAATGCTATGTTTTTATATATCTATATTCATAGAAAGAAACGTTTGTTTATAAGCATGAACAAAATCACAATTCCTTCAAGTAATAAGTAGAATAATACTAATAATATATTTATTGTTATATTATTGAAATAGCCGGAGACATGTCCTCATATACCTATTGTTGAAGGATTTGGGGCTTAATACATCTTAATGTGGCGGCGTATATATGTACGTATAGCTATGTACTTTCCAATATTTCAGTGACAGTATTGCACACAAGTGACAGTGCCAATAGCCCCCGCCAAGTCCTGCTGCGCAACGCAGTGTACCGTAGCGTGCGCGGGCGCAAGGATGCCGCTGCTTCGAACAAAAGTTTTTGCTGCCGCTCTCGTGTTTTTTTCAGGTAAATTAATTTATTCAAAATTGTGTCCCTGTCTTTTGTAAAACTGTGCAATGCGGGTTACATTTGTGATCGGCCTATTATAAATTTGTTATTATAAAAAATATAGTTTTGACGCATTTTTCGTATAAATAAAATAAATAATAATAACAAACACATGTAATTGGGTTTTTTTACGTAATTTTTAAGATTAGTTTATATTTTATATTAAAATTATTTTACAGGCATATCATGTCAACGAAAGCCGATAAAAGAGGCTCTATTTTTGAATAGTGATACTTTCGGTAACTCTACATTAGAAGATTGCGTGTGGAAGAGAGAAAGAGAGCCATGCCCTGACCCAAATATTACTATAAATTTGTACACAGAAGCTGAACCTGAAAAGAAAACTGTAAGTTTTTTGTAATCACTCAAAACTGGTTTCATATACGGTATACCGATTCGTATTCCAACCACTTTGTTTTTTTTTTATTTATACGCTTTTTAACATTAAATCAGTTCACTTACATTTTACAAATATGTATGTGTTTTATCGATATTTAATAATTTTTCGTATTTTAGACATTTTATACGAGTACTGCGTTTATTTATTCGTTCAGTTTTAACAGATTATAGTTCTCATGCTACTTGCGTTCAGTCCTGTCACGGCTTGTTATTTTTTTTGTTAAATATGTCATAGTTAGATATATGTTATTGGACTTTGGTCCGTGTATGTCTTTTATAAAACTGTAGTACATCACTTTGCTCTACTGTCAACAGTTTCCGCAGCGTACGCGAAATAAATTTCTATTGGTATTATTTATACACCTCGGGTCAATCAAATTATCAAAATTACTTTTTTGAAAATATCATATAGCATATGTTCATCAGAGATAGTATTGGCCGACTTGTTTCAAATGTTGTTGATCAAATCTTACCTCTTTATAATTTTAGTGTCGATATGTACCTATAGCTTTGAATAAAAAGCTTCTTGAGTATTTGTTAAATTATTTACGTGTAAAAATCTCCCATTTTATTGTATTAAATGAATCCACGTATACGCAAATATATAAATCAAATTTATTACGTTAATTATTAATTTCACCTTACTTTCATCATATAAAACCAAAATAAAATTTTTTAAAACCTAAATAAATGGCTCAAGCATAAAAATAAAAACCTCGCGAGTGGTTGTACACATAAAAAACTATACAATTCAATATAGGTACATAAATCGTAGTCAAACCGAGGGCTACATTTGCAAATATTATAAGTAGCTTAAAATAGTTAAAACTTTTACGTTAATACATGATTGTATTGCTATTGAATTTTTTTCTCACGAAACATATTAACATCCAACACTACCAGTATTAAGCCATTGTTTTATGGTAAGGTAATAGTTAATTAAAATTCAAGTTCTGTTCAACCCAATTGCAAGTATGCCATATTTTCTTTTCTATACTAGTAATTTTATACAAAAATATTTGGTATATATTTCATTAGAACTCCGATGTTTATTCAGTTGTTTAAGGAAGTAAACACGAAACGAAATATATAATTAATATCACATCGGAGATTTGCTTACAAAAAATCCTTAACATCGATTTTTTCCAAACAAATCTAAGGGTTTAAGGTTTCTCTTGGTGTAGAACGATGTCATGACCGACAGGACAAAAACACAGGTCACCCGTTAGAAAGGCTCTCAAGAATACTAATTTTCAAACTTACAATAGACCGTAAACTTTCTTCTAATTAGCATTAGAATTTTCACTTCAAAAAGGGTAGTTTTACCGTTTGTTAGACATGAATGTGCAGAGCTAAAACGCGAATTTGTATGTATGAATGGAATTGAATGATATTTGAAGGGCAACATTTAATTGAGGTCACAGTCATAACCATAAAATATTGATACGATATCCAAATACAATGATTGCTACACAAATTGTTTCTCTACCTCTCCTAACTTTGAAGTTCCAATGGTGCAAAGGCTTGACACATTTTTACTCTACTTCACTAAAATATCAAAGCAAGTATGTCGATGGTAATCGAACTCGAAGCCGCGCCCAAAACTCTAGGATATATATGCTATAATTGCTAAGCCATTGATTAGAAAGTAGTTAAATTTGACTTACTTATTATAATTACTTTATAAATACAATTCGCCATTTTTATACAAATTTAATCCGTGGGTCACGGTGATTTAACCGCAATCTATCAAATGTTATTACCGTTAATAATATAACACTATATTGAGCTCAAGGTATTATTAATGTATATGCTCTGGTATATACTATATTTAATCAGTAATCAGCAAGCTAACAGTGTAAGTTCACTTGCGATCCTGATTACAACAGTTTTTGTATACCTCAAAAATACTCTTTAAAATAGCTCCGTCAAAAATGGGTTTCATAGTTACTCGCATGACGGCATTGGGGTTCTCTGTCAGGTAGTGCCAAAAAATTAATCACTATTATTTAATCATTGCATCGGTATTTGTTTAACATAACGGGACAGACCCGTTCTGGATATTTTGTTTTTGGAAGTATCAATAAGAAAATATTTTTATCTTACAACCGTAAAAATGCAGTATTGAGTGCGCGAATCTCATTACGTAATTGCTTTAGGGACATCAATATTTTATGTACAGTTGTAAAAGTATACAAAGTTAACGGTACCTAAGACATTTTTAAACAAACTTTTTTACCGACAAAATTAACACACAGGCAGGTTTATTTTCCCCAAACCGTTTAAAGTCATATTTCATACAGATTACTCTCAATAACACTTTATTTTTATACTGTCAAATACGAGTAGGCTATTGGTGTAGTTTGGTATTTCTTGTCGCGATCAATCATAGTTTATTTTTAATATTCGTCAACATATATATCAAACTACAGATTATTTCAACTTATTGTCAGTAATTTTAGTATAATAGACTGAGACTGAGAAACTTTATAAGTTAAAAAAAAGTCCGGATGTTTCCGCATTTAGGGACAAATTACTTTCGCATTTATAACATAATATAAGTTGTCATTTACCTAAAAATTTAATTGTGTTACAGTAAATCAGCGATTTTGGTCACAGTTTATTTAGAACTCGTTATTTTAATGGGATTAACATTTGTGGTACAGGTGGACCTCTTTAGTGAAGACTGGCTTCGTCAGAGTAGCTGGGAGCCCTCCCACGAAACAATTTTACTTATTCACGGCTACGCTGGTGGGGATGATACACTGCCGATAATTGTTCTTCGTGATGGTAAATATTCTCATAGATTTATAGTAGACCGGTTTGGACTTTTCGAAGCCTAGCTTAATATTAGCCTTTCGTCCCACCCTCTGCCTAAAAGGCCGGCAACACACTCGCCCTTTGGCGTTGAGCGTGTCCATGAGTGGCCATGGATATCACTTAACATCAGGAGAGCCTGTTCTATAAAAATTAAAAAAAACATAACCACGAATTCCTTTGATCCAGTCGTGTTGGTACTACCCGAGGTGGTTGTGCCTGGAGTGAGTCGAGCTCCACACCCCAGTTGCATTTAGTGCCTTGTTACCTTGGTATAATAAAAAAAAAGGGTCCGTGTACTTATGTACGCGCGTAAGAAGTTATACTTCTTTGGCAATATTAAAAATAGTTTGGCTTTGTTCCACCTCCAGTTTTTGATGTTTCACAGCGATAAGATGAAAACTCTTTTTTGTATTCAATTTAGTGCAGTTACACTGATTCATCAATTGTTTTTTGTCTCTTTTCCTTATATTTGCTAGATAAAATCAGAAAAATTACATGTTTGATTAAACAATGTGGTTAATTTTTTAATCAAAACATTACTCGATAATAATAATAATACATACGGATAGTTAACCTCAATTGTATTGAAGCACTTAGGAAGGTTGATGAGCACAGTTTTTTCACAAATATTAATTAGTATTGGTTTAAATATTCAATTTAAATCACTTCTGATTATAATTCAAAAAGCATCGCTAAATTTCTTTGAAAAAATAATTAAAACTCCTTTATTTGTTTAAAAGGTACATGACAAATGTCATTATGGTCATTCAAAATTGTTGGCATACGAACTTCACGCATATTCTATTTCTTTTTACTTGTAGATTGTCTTATTCCTATCTCGCTCGCGCACGCTATAATCACACTCCTAATTTTGTGTCACGGGTGCGCGCGCAATGTAAAATTTCACTCTCATAAATTTTTCATAACGCGCCTAAAGAAGTATAACTTCAAAAAAGCTTTAAAATTTAAGCTATAATATATGCTTATGTTCTATCTACGTGTTTGAAATTTTTTTACGTACATGTATTTTTTGCTCAAATACGAGCAAAAATACATGTAACAAAATTTGTAATCTAACTATAATATGTTGTCAAATAAAAAACAATACATAGCTATAACATAAACAATTAATCTCTTATTAGTAAACTATTTTACTATGTTTCATTATACATACGAAAGAAAAAAGTTAGCAAAGAGATTTTATTAAGTTCCTTATCAGTCAGTTCAATCAGAGAAAGTATTGCGATTTTACATTGCATACTTGACAATTGACATCAACGAACTCTTAACAGCGCTTTCTACTTATTGTCGTTACATGCGGGTCAGATTGTATGAAGTCAGGTATTTTTAATAATAAATATTTTAAGAATTAATTTATGCTCCAGATGATATAAATCCTTAAGAGATCATCAAACCCCAATTAGATATAGGGCACATTGCATTCTTTACCGTCCAAACAGGTTTTTTCATATTTGCGTTTCCCTGGGAAACTAACTTAAAACCTTCATGTCATTAACGGCTACAATTACAACCTAATTTAATTATAATTCCTTTTACATATGTGTTTCACATGTTTTAGCATATCTTCGTCGTGGCGGTTACAACGTTTTCATGCTAGACTGGGGACAGCTATGCCAGCCTCCGTGCTATGTCGCGGCTGTTCACAACTTGCGCCCGGTCGCACGGTGCGTCGCAGAGGCGCTTGCGACTTTGCGTCGTGCGGGTCTGCGACCTGACCGACTCACTTGTGTCGGACACTCATTAGGAGCTCACTTGTGTGGAATTATGTCAAATTACTTGAACTTCAGAATGAATCGAATTATTGGTATGAAACTTTCATGAATTTAAATCTACATCCTAAACGTACTGTTACGTTACTACGTATAAGTTAGAATAAGAATTTTTAAGTTTTCTCTGTGACCAAACAATATTACTAAGCGAGGCTTATTATTAGAATTTATTACAAAATCCGAGCAGTGTTGGCCTAGTGGCTTCAGCGTGCGACTCTCATCCCTGAGATCGTAGGTTCGATCCCCGGCTATACACCAATGGACTTTCTTTATATGTGCGCATTTAACATTCGCTCGAACGGTGAAGGAAAACATCGTGAGGAAACCGACATGTCTTAGACCCAAAAAGTCGACGGCGTGTGTCAGGCACTGGAGGCTGATCACTTACTAAATTGAAAAATGCGTATTAAATTGAAAAATGATCATGAAACGACGAAAGAGGTTGTAGCGCCACTGGTTATTATTATTATTATTACAAAATCCATTCAAATGAAATCTTATGTATCACACGCAATGTATATGAGGAGATGTGTGGTAACCGTTTGCCGATGTAAGCACAGATTAGATTACACTTTAACTCCGTTCTTTCCTGTGTTCATACTCTCATGTATTTCGTATAATTGAAGATGAAAAGAATCGATATTTTTTAATCAAATTATTTAACATTTTCTAATATTTAGGTCAGTAATAAAAAAGGTGATTTGTTTAATACAAATAAAATGTTCTAAAGTTTGCATTTAATTAGTGTAAGTTTTTTCTTACATAACGCGGACGAAGTCAAGGGGATTTATTTATAATAAAAATATGACGCAATTTTTTCGATTCGAAAAGTGCATAATATGGTACCTACTTTAATCAAACTTTCTCCAATACGTAATTTATCGAAATAGACCGGTTCGAAGCATACTCTCTCCACTGTCTTACATTTCTTCTCGTAATTGCTTTTTGCACTAACCCAAGTAATTGTATATGTCATTATATACAATATACTTTTATTATTACACAAATGCACAAAACAGAAGAACAATTAAAACAATAACTAACCTTAAATAATAAAGTATTTACAATTTTCCAGCGTTAAAGGTACCTACACTGCCACAGGGACCAAACTTTTTAAATTTGTTTTGATTTTAATTTTATTTATTTTTATTAATACTTTGTAGCATGATTAAATTCTATATCTACTACTTAATTAAATATATAAATAATTAATTGTATTTTCCTTAAAAGGCTGCCAGGAATATATCGCTCGAAGCGGTAAGGCCGCCCGTAGACCTTATTTTTTAATGATTATAATTTATAAGAACTGATTTTTGCAACGAAATAAAATATGTTTAAAATTAATTTTTAGTTAAGTTGTATCAATTTAGACATTTTCACAATTGGCTAAGCATCTTTAACTGAATTTTTAGAGAAATGTATAAACTTTCCAGGGTTGGACCCAGCCAGACCTTTGATCAGATCAGCTCCCGCCTTACGTCTAGACCCTGGAGATGCTCGGGCTGTCCACGTTCTTCATACAAACGCAGGCCGGTATGGTGAAGCAGCACGACTTGGTCATGCCGATTTCTGTCTAAATGGAGGGAGAAGTCAACCCTTTTGTGAGGATACACCTAGTGAGTATAAGTGTTTCCATTGTTTTTTTATCGTGTAATAAAAGCCAAGGCAACTTTTATCTTTGTCTCCCTAAGCACCTTAAAATTGGGGGTTTTATTTGGTTTCGTAAACAGTATTGATGAAGAAAGTGGTTTAATGACGCGTTTACCGTGACCACAATTCAAAGGTTTTCTTTTAAATAGATATCGGTTTTCAAAAAAGTAATATTTGTAGACGCAGCCCTATGCAGCCACGTATGGTCGATATGCTATCAGGCAGAGAGTCTGTTCAGGCCTCGTGCCGCTGTCCCTTGCGGGCGACGCTGCTCAGTGAGAGTTCCGCCAGCTAGAGCCTCCGCCCTGCCCGTGCCTTTGGGACAATCTGCGCCTATGACGTGAGTACAATAAATATGCGTACATTCTATTCATTACTTATTTATTATATAAGTTTAAGAGTTTTACAATTGCACACACATAGTCCACACACATCGCATTATTCCATTCTTTTTTCACAATTTTAATTGTAATAACACAACCTGGTTTTTTTTAAATTGCGAACGTGAATATCGAGTGCCTACCTCATTTAGCGTCATCACTTACTGCTTATACCAAAGTTATATTGCATTAAAGTACCACGCCCCAAAATAAGGGAAATATATTTGAGACCTCTTAAATAATTTTAGGTACCTATAGTACTAAATTGTACCGATTTTCCTTATTTCACAGAGCCTCAGGCGCATATTGCGTAGAAGATTTTACAGCTCCATTCTGTCCAGCTACGACAGGCTTATCGGATGGCGACGATCGCTGTTGTCTCGACAAACAATACGCCGCTGCGGCTACAACCACTCAACCCCCAAGAACCCGCCCTAGGCCAATAGTAAGACTTCGTTCTAGACGGATTAAAAACATATCTACTAATACTACTTGGGACCATTATGAAGAAGAATAAGACAAATCTATTTACGTAGATGATTCTAGGAAATAGGGTGGAATTAGCTGGGTAATTAAAGGCAATGTCCCAAGAATTTATAAATAAATTCTATTATATAACATCTAATATTCTTGATAACAGTACAATAGCACGAATTTTTCATCATTTTGTCATTTATTCGTAAACGTTGATGCGATAAAGTCATCGTCTAACTGTAGAGTCGTTTCATAATTTAGAATTGATATAATTAACTTCGCGAATATTATTGGAACACTTCGTTGCTTGTTTAGTTCCAAAAAAGCCCACAGAGTATTGCTTGAATTTTTTATATAAGTTCATTTTCACTATTCTATTTACTGACTACACTATTTCAAAAGACAAAAATAATTTTAAGGGTAATCTTAAGTTAATTTGGCTTTAACTTGTCATCTAAGGATCGTTAGTTTTAATTTTAGACTCAAGTTACCGTTTTTCATTAGCAAAAGAACACTTGGGACAGACTATTATAATAATCACCGGAATGAGTGATCCGAGCTAATTAATGACCTGCTAATCTGGCGATCCCAATTTTTACATTTACAAAAAAATATAGATGTGTTACATTACAATAAATTGAAATGTGATGGTGGTGGCAGCCGTCTCCACTAGTTTTAGTATTTAAATTTAATGTAAGAATTAAGGCTAATCCCCTTATACATTCAAAGCTTCAAAACGCTACTGACTTTGCAAATAAATAAGTGTGTTTATGAAAAAGCCTGTAAGACGTTAGTAGATAAATTCAATAAAAGTACAATATTGTCTAATTATTTATGGGTTGCCAAAGAAATCAAAATAAATGATATATAGAATATTTGTTTTTCATTTGCGTAGTTTTATACACTACTTTATGTCATGTCATAAATTAGGATTGAACATAGTAAGTAAAACATATGAATGTCGCCAAGACTGTCCCGGTTACAGGTACGTACATCAATTACTTGAAGACTATTGCTAATATGACTGCAGAACCAACAATAAAACCTTCTTAGTACCGTAAGATAAAGATGGATCAAAAATTTAACGATAACCACTTTTGGAACTGATGCGTTATCGGTTACAATAATGTATAGTAAGCTATTGTTGTCTCTTCTAAAAGGGAGTTCTAGTTCTTAGACGTTAGAATTAACAGTGGCTGTCGAAACAAGTTTACTGATCCCAGAATAGAGCAAAAATTAAACACAAAATTGTTTATTTCATATATATTTCTACATTTTAATGTCAACTTTTATTCGCCGACATGAGAAGAGAGAGTAGAGCCGCTTTCTCCTTCTCCTTCTTCCTGACGACGTCAAGCGCGCGATTCTTCCACGTACTCTTCCGCAATTTAATGGGTCTACTACCTACATATCGACCTGTGCAGAAATATAAAAAATAGATGAGCTTATAAGTAAACAATTAATTTTAACAGAGTTTGAGTGCCAAGTAAAGTAAGTATATGGCGAGGGGGCCGATGGCTGGCCATGCGTCATACTCGTGAACGGGTGCTACTTGTGGTGACTGGTCGTACTTGAATTCGTGTATGCGGTGATGTTAGCTTTTTCGACTATGTATTTGCGTGTTGTTCCCACGGGATGTAAGTGCGTGCTCCTATTTCACCAAGCCTCCTGCTGATCTTTGTTTTTAATTTATTTTATTATTATTAATTACTTAAGATGTCATGTGGAACATGGTGTAATGGTTGCAGCTCCTTACAAACATTACGTAAAACAAAAAACTTGGCGATTAAAAAGTGTGGCGGAGAGTTTATTGCCAGTTCTTCTTTTCCTTACTACGCCCTTGATTTGAGAACTGGTAGTAAATGTAAAATTAGAAGTATTTCATATATTTTTTTTATTTTTTGACGTTCAAAAGTGTACATTTTGTTACCTATATGAATAAATGATTTTTGAATTTTTATTCTAATAAAAGAGCAGGAAACAATTTGAACATTAAGTGAGCCTCCAAAGCGAAAAATATTTTTTACCAGTAATCGAACCACGGTCAGTCGCGACACTAAACTACGGAGTATTTTATATAACATGCTCACCATCCATTTCCTTCATAGCCTTAATGAAATCTCCGGGATCCTTGAAACTGACAAAGCCAAAACCCTTGCTTTTGTTAGTTCTCTTGTCTCTGATGACTTTAGCTCGCTGAAACGAAGTGTACTTTCCAAATGTTCTAGCCTGGAATTTTCAACAAAAATATTTTGTATGATTCTGTGTTTAAATTAAGATTTTCAACTTTAATTTTATCTCTAATTTATAAAGCCATAACTCCGATCAGTTATCAAAAGTTAAAATTAAATTAAAACGCGGATATAAACTCTTATTTAATTAAACGTTTCGAGGGATTTTCAGCGATCACGAATGCGAGATGTTGTTTGTCCGCTGTGGACTCCTAAACTACTTAACCGATTTCCATTAAATTTAAACACCGTCTGCAGTTTGGTTTAACTTAAAAGATAGGATAGCTTAAATCTCAATTTATACCCGCAATATTAATTTATTGCAAATTTTTTGACAGTCACTATTCTAACAGATGGCGCTGTGTTGAAAGTACCAACAAATCAAATCAAATCAAAATACGTTTATTCAATTAAGATGCGTCTTAGCGCATGCTTATGAATGTCAAAAACGTTTACAAAATTCGCGAAAGAGCAAGACTACGCCACCCGTTCGCAAAACTACCAGGAGGCCTTGTTCTGAGAAGAACGGGCAAGAAACTCAGCAAGTTTTGCCCTCCCTTTACATTACAATTATTCAAAGGAAAATGTCATAAAGCACAACGTCATTAAAGTTACATAAGTAAAAAAAACTCTGTCTCTCTAAGTCTGTTCTGTGATTTACCACATTCACCATTACACACAAATCAAATTATAAGAATATAATTACAACTATTGCCAAGCGTTTTTATCTTCCAGGTAGTCATTGACTGTGTAGTAACCTTTAACATACAACGTTTCACATAAGCTACAATTTAATGGCAACAAAGGCATGGTGGTCCCCATGACTGGTGTTCACATACCGTACCGTGGTGTCTCTTGAATAGCTTACTACTATGACATATAACAACCATAGCCACAGCAACGCTTGGCCGAGTCTGCTAGTAATATAATAACTTTTATCAGCACTACAATTTTGATTCAATAATCTAAAAAACGTCTACCATGTATGCGTCCTAAGATTCAGAGCCGAAACTTAGCGCTAAGTATGTTAGGCCGGGAGATAGTGACACAAAATAGTGGGTCATTTGTACCAGTATGGCGGTTCTTCAGGGTCTTATTACGCAATGAAAAAAATAAAAACGGGTCGGTATGGCGGGCTGTAAGTCACACCGGAAAAGTATGGCATGACACTACCGCCTCTTATTTTTTTATGGACTATCGGAAAATACTAGAATTGTTGTGGTACAAATCATTTGACACCTTAATTAATCCGACGAGTTCGACTAACGCCCACGCGATCGGGCCGCCGGTACCAGCGCTATAAGCGTAAATAGCGTAATGAGACCCCTGAAGAACCGCTATACTGGTACAAATGACCCACTATTTTGTGTTACTATCTCCCGGCCTATGTATCTCATGTGTCAAATCCACTACGTTTATAACATACAGGAGGAGGGCCTCATAGCCAAGCGGTCTTATTAAGTGGCAGCTAGGTGAGGGGTACCGGGTTCGATTCCCGGTTCGAGGGCAAGTTTTAATTTAAAATTTGTTCTCGGCCTTTGGGAGGGTTGTGCGGTACCGGGCGAGTGCTTAAACCGAACATGGAGGACACGGTCGAATTTCTAAGACACGGTCGAATTTCTAAGGCAAGCACGAATTATAAAAAATCTTATACTTGACGCTGGCTAATGCACAAACCGTGCCAGAGCCATAAAAAAAAAGACATACAGGAGTCATACTAAGCAGCGAAACGTTTCTCCGTATTCCGTTCTTATTACACTTTTTAGTACACATAATAACGACTAGTATAGTATGACTATACTAGTACTAGTAAAGTTACAACAAAAATGATTTTGTTAAAATTGCTACAGAACATTTTGTAAGGAATTTTTGAGAACTTCACTTTCAAAACAAAATTGGTTTAAAATATTATACTTCACTATTAAATATTTGCAGATTACTAACCAGTAATTCATCGGTGACGTCATTTCCAAGATCCCCACAGAACATGCGAAAGTCATCATCAGGCCAGTCCAATAACGTCACGTCTTCCCACACCTGACCACCTGCTGTCCTTACCACCTCGAAAATATAATTTATTAGTTTAATACATTATATTTCCACATCAATGTATTTAATTTTTTTAAATTAAAATTAATTTATTTTGCAGAATACGATTGTCATGATGTTTATATAAATTTAGATGCAATTCAAATACAGTGTAAACTCCATGTAACATCCCTCGATTTAACGACAAACCCCCCTAAAGCGTCGAAATCACTCGGCTTTGGTTGGTTTAGCTTGTCTTCCATATAATGATACACTCTACATAGCATTACAACCACCCTAAATAACGACAATTAAATAATAAAAAGTTGCCGAATTTAGTTAAAACTGCGGAGCTGGTACGTTGTTTTGTCCCTTTATTGTCCTAGCCCGTAATAAACTCGACTTTCAACATCATACGTACTGAACTTTCTAAAAAATCTGTTAGTTTTTTTACAAATTGGGATTGCTTGCACGTATTCTATCACAAAGATGCCTCAATATCGCAAGATATGAATAAAATAAGTAATAAACATAATTTGTGGTGCAGCAAAAACGTTAGCGTTCAAATAAGAATTGTTTTTTGTGTAATTACTAACACTAGTCTGAAATAAACTTTCCTAAATACAGATTTTTCTTCTTTCCAATTAACGACAACGCTTTGTAACGTCAAAATAAGCACAGTCCCTTGAGCGTCGTTACATAGAGTTTACACTGTATATATTAATATATATTTTAAATACATACAATATAATCATCTCAGTTGTAAAACCAAATTATGGTTACATTGTATCTGTTGTTTCCTATATTAATGACAGTAATTGTTAGAACCGTATATGTATTTATTAGTATTGTAGCAATTTTTCTAAACAACATTCTGTTTGCATATAATGGCAAATCACCAGAAGAACTGATGTTATTTACCCGTCCGTCTCCATGACTTTATATAATCTAAAACTGTCCTTACCTTTCTATGTTTTTTCTCTTTCTTTGTCTTAGGCACCAAAGCCTCAGACACACTGACAGGTACAGGCAATGGTTGTGGAGCTGGAGGGGGAGTTAGAGGCTTTTCAATTTCTGGAGGTGGAGTTATTGGACGAGACCGCTTCTGAAATTTTTAGGCTTTATTAATGCTATGTATCAGTACAGAAAGAAGTTCTTTCTGTCTCACACTGTTTCACCTATGTTGAGAAAAATAAGTACTGGTCTTTAACAAGCACAAAAATATATTTTGGTTTGAATTCGGAGACCGTGCTGTTGAGTTTAACCAAACAAAACCTTCAGCTGTATAGTGTCATAAGCATAGATAAGGAGGTAATAAAAACCAACAGCACCATTAAAACCTAAACTAGATTTTAATGGTGTTGCTAGTAAGGGAGCGTTCAAGTATTACGTCACGCAAATTTTGGAGATTATTAAACAATAACGGCTTAATTTGATCCCCGCCCCGCATCGTAACGTTGTACAAAAGGACCCCCCTTCCCCAAAATTCGTTACGTATTACTTCAACGGCCCCTAACTCCAACCTAGATGTGGGCAAGTGAGTGATGAGGTATATTTTCTATCAAAATTTAGATTAATTTAAAATAAAGTGAATATTATTATAATACCCAAACATTGTTAACTTATTACCTCGTTATCTCTTTTTTGAGTAGTTGTTTATATTTTTAAGCACATACCTTTTTCTTGCTTTCTTTTTTATCATCATCATCTTTGGGCTGTTTATATAACTTGGGTGCAGCTGATAAAATAACTGGTTGTGGCTTTGGTGGTGCAGGAGGTGGAGGAATCAATTGTGGTCCTGGAAGTCCAGGTCTTAGGAAAGGTATAGGTGCAGAATAGTCTCCTGGGCCACTTGGCGGACGAAGTCTTTGAACCTAAAATCCATTTGAATCCATAAATTTTTTAAAGCCTTACAATGGAATTGTATAAATTAGGCTTAAATGGAGCCCAATTGTTTTTATGTATATAAAACAAACATAAATTTATATAAAATGTAATAATTTGTTTGAAGTGAATATTTACTATAAAAAATACTTTAAAAAGAATTTCAACAAGATGCTATGAGATTAAGTGTTGATGCAATATTACATCAGTATTAAGTATTTTTAGGTATATATACAGGTAAATAATAGCCTTCGATGTGTGCTAACAATTTTCAACATTACTTTCTACTAGTTCTGAGATCAATAATTTATCTTCACATTTAATTCACCATCCACCATAAATAAAAAAATTATTGTTCACAGAAATGAAAAGTGCTCAGCAAGAAAGGCTTGATTGTAATCAGAGAGTGGACTAGTTAAATTTCTACTCACAGAAGCAGGTACCATCATAGACTGTGGGGGTGGGGCACCAGTAGGGAATAACATCCTGGAACCTAAAACACTATGGTCAAACGATGCTAATAAAGCTGGTGGTGGCGGTGGTGGAGGCAATGACCGCTCAAGTTGTTGCTGTACGGCGCCAAATGTAGCTGCGCCTATCACGGGACGCATAGATGGTCCTCCCGACCCAGATATCTCTGCTTCAAATCTGGAAAAATTTATTAAATTATCAATGTGGATGATAAAGGTTTACTGTTAGTATACCAGTGAATAAAGCTTCAAGAAAATTTTGTGTTTGCTAGTTTCAAATTTATTTTAATAGAGAACATGTGAAGAATAACTTACCTGGACATTTCATCCTGCATTTGTTGAAATTTACAAGAGTCATCCATGGTGATGTATTGATTTTAAACTAGAAGAAATCCAAAAACTTTACGTAGTTATGAGTACAATTTTATTAGGGCTATTTTAAATAAGCACAAATACATACAGGGAATGCCATCATGTGGGGCTCTCAGCTCTAGGCTAATTTTTAACAACCTACGATAACCGTAGTCCGTATAGAAGTATACGTTATGGCATTAAATGATTTAAAAATTATTTTACGTTAAGTTAGTAATGTAATTAATAACTTTTTTCAATTAATATATCTAGTTTCTATTATGTTTTCTTGTCCATCTGCAAAGTGCAATATATGATTATTCTAGTTAAATAAATTTCTACCACAATCCACAGTCCACACTCCACAGATTTGATTGTGATTTATGAATAATTATTATGACTTATGAGTTTGACAAAAGACAATTATTATTATTAACCACACTCCGCAGATGGCATATTTCACAGACTATGAAAAACACAGCACAGAAGTATCGACCCGATTGGGTAAAATTAGATTTATTTAAGGACTGGTTAGGGCCCGGTAAAAACCAATTTAAAGCCAGGCGCACTGTTTGTGACGTGGAAATGGTTTCAGAATATGGAGTTTTAAAGTTTGTCGTGCGTTTTTTTCATCTGGCAGCCCTGTTTTGACAACTGACGTGAACTGAAACTTAAACGAGATAATAGAGCCTTAAAGGAAAAAAAAAACAAGATAATATTTTTATTAATAATAAAAAAAATATTTAGCGTTGATAATTTTGAGTTCATATTTTCTAAACTTCAAGAGTCAAGACACATTTGACTCAAGTAAACTAATTTTACCTTAAAATCAATAAATGAAAACTGCAGTTACATTGTTTTGTGCACTTTATAATTACAACGTCAACTGTGTTCCTCCTGCTTGCATAAATAAGAAGTTTTTTCAAGTTTTTGGGTGCCTAGGTGACTGATGATATTGAATTTTGCGTATCATGTATGAAGAGGATAATAAAACGATATGGTGCGGTAACATATCGGAACAAGTGACTGAGGAAATTCTGTATGAACTGTTTTTACAGGTATGTTAGTTACTGTTCAATTAGTAAGTAAATAGTATGCAAGATTAACTAATATAACCTAATGCCTTCTGATTTTCTTTTCTAGGCAGGCCCTCTTGAAAAGGTAAAAATTGTTAAAGATCGAGATGGAAGACAAAGGAACTTTGCATTTATAACATACAGACATGAAGTGTCTGTACCATATGCACTGAATTTATTTCGAGGTACAGCCCTTTTTAATAAAGCATTATCAATGCATTGTAGAGGGCGTATGGTTCCATTACCACCTTCTATTCGTGCATATGGTGATGAAGTACCCCTTGAAATTCATAACCAAAATGTCATCCAGCAATTTGCTGCCATGACAGAAAAGATTAAGGACGATAGCCAAAGACCCATGCCATTATTAAGAAGTGAAATGAACAATGAGCTTGTTATGGCTAGCTTACAAGGAAATTGGTTGCATAGGCACCACCCATATCAAACTAATGATAACAGAAAGCATGGGCGAGACGACAATAGACATAAAGAAAGTCAGAAAAAGCACTCAAGCCACTGGAAGGATAGGAAAAGGTCAAGAAATTATAGAAGAGATTAAATATAAATAACATAAGAGGACTAAAATATTGCTTTGTGGAAGAAATAGTAAATTTTTTTTAAAAAATCACAATTTATTCACTTACTGAACTACCTATTATTGTATATATGATATAAATAAAATGACAACATCAATAACTATTATATACATGCATTTAATAGAGCTATTTTGAATTTTCACCAGTGTCCATTTAAAATATAGCCAACTTCATTAAGAAATCCCTTGAATTCTTCCTGTAAAAGTAACTTATTGTTAAAAGAATTGTCATTAATGTTTTGGTATAGATGAAAAAAAGTTTATTGTAGTTATTTTTTATAGAATAAAATAAACAACACAAAATTATATATAAAGTAATTTAGTACAAAATTAAGAAAAAAATTTATATAAAAGTCATCATTGTTGTCTTAACCATTTATTTAAATATAAAACTTAAATATTTTAATACCAATATTTTTGACCCTCTAATGAAATGTTGTAAGTTAAATTTACTTACAATTTTTGTCTTATATTTGTAGGCAACATAGCCTATAATTTCTGAAATGAAGATAAGGGATACTATGTAGAAGACAAGTGAAATTAATTTCTCATCCATGTCAAACATATCTGAATGCAATATTTTGTATGTCAAATATGTCCCAAATATGCCACGGAGGCCAATAAATAGAATTAAATATACTATTTCCACTGCATAATATATTATAGTTCCTTCATATCCTTCAGATCGTAAGAACCTGAAATATTAACTTAATAAGAATATGTGTCAAGGAATAACCACATTTTTTTTAATGTAAAAATTAATCGGCAAAAAAGTATTACCATCTACTTTGTAGCAGGGGATTTGTAATTTCCATTAATGCCAATGTACAGGCAAAAGTACAGCCAGTGTTGTCTTTGCCCATGTATATATTTATAGCTATCAAAGCACTAATATGGTGTACCAGCATTACATAACTATCAGTCCAATATATTATACACCAAAGCAGGTCAAATGCAAAATAACCCCATGACCAAACCATCACAGCGTAACGCGCCGTGGTTATTTTACCTAAAATTTTAGCATGTGTTAGATTTATACAAAAAGATATGGAAACATAGTCTTTTAAGTTTTCGCTAATAATATTAGAAAGTACTGTCCAAAGTTATGGTCAGCCTTACTTATCTTTCTAAGAGCAAGATTCAGAAACGAGACAGCGTGAACTATGAGTCTTGACTCTTGATCAGACTCTATAAGATTCATTAAAATATTAACTTACAAACTTAAATACTACTACTTATAACGTAAGAACATTATATTTTCAAATAGATTATATGATCAAATTAATTGAACTACCAAAGAAGATTTAAAATGAAGTTAAAAGACAACATTATAATTGATTAAGCATAAAGTACATTAAAAAAACAGCATGGGAACAGAATTGAAAAGTGAAATCTAGTTGGCTACTCACTGGTAAGCCGTTTTCGGGTTAGACTAAATACGCCGCATTGCCAGAGCCCTGCTGCAGTTGCTACGCTGCCATGCAGAAGGGTCACTGCCCTAGAGTACCACTCGGGGCTCTTTCCTGGTACTTTTGCCGCGCAATAAACATAGGACCAACTCCAGCATAAAAAAGACGTTAATTTTATAAGCGATGCTGTTGACAATTCTGGCCGATAAGCCATTTGTAGGATTTTTTTTTAAATTTTATGATTACATCTCAGAAATTTTAATAGAAAAGGTAAAATCTGGTATTTAAAAATTTAATTTTTTAAAGTGCGAATGACACTGTCTTTTTTACATTGTCAAAAGTCAGGGTGGTTTGCTTTACTAAACGTATATCTAGTGGTTTACGATTGGTACCTAAATGATTGTTAAAATTTAAAATACAAAAGTGCCTTTAGTGCAACGCTCTAGGTTTCCTTGCTAAGTTTAACCCTGAATTCGAAGCACAAACGTTTCGGTGCCTACTGGATACGATCTACTATCTAGTCATTAAATAGAATAATAAAGATATAAAAATAAATAGTCATTTACTTATATTATTTAGGTAAAGTTTATTATCTAAACATTGAATTTTTATTTACATTTATTACTTATATTAAGTTTCTTTTAAAAATATTTTATTCAAAAAATTACAGTTGTATAGAGTTAAAAAAATCTAAGTTCTAAACAAGTAATGAACGGCAGTGGGATAAACTTTATTTGGTAGGTTAGAATAAACTACCTTATTTCGCATGTCTATCGACAACGTAATTTTTCCACATATTTTTCAATTGCACGGTACCGGCTAAGTGTCATTGAGTCTTTGAGCATTTGATGAAAACGCGGGTCTTCTGACAATAAAATACACAGATGTCGGGCGTGAAGCCTGGTCTCAGGGTGAGCATCACCTAGGAGATCGCCAGCAGCTCTCAGGATGACGATACGTGGCTCAGATGGAAGTTCTAGAATTTTCGATGGTCCTGTATGCCTTGTTAAACGTGTTAAAGCTTGTGCTGCAGCGGCTCTTACTGGTCCCGCGCGATGTGTAGCTCCTTTTCTGGCTAAAGCCACCCCAGCCCTTGCACAGCCTACGCTACACGCTACTCGTCCAAGTGCATTTGCGGCTTCTGCACGTAAAAATCTATTGGCATCCGCACATCTTTCTAATAACGCCCCAGCGGCTTCTTCGACATCTGACTCTAAGATTTTTCCTCGGAGCTCAAACAAAGTTCCTAAAGTCGAACACGCAGCACGAGCTACTCTTGATCGTAATGATCTTACATGAGTGGAAGCCGTTCGGACAACAGATCTCCAGCTTGCTGCCGGGGCCCGAGCCGTTTCATCCTTCGCGAGCCTTTCGATTTCTGTTAGTGCGCTAACTATAGCTTCCCAATCTTCATGCCGAGCTGGTATTATTGTCTCGGCCAGTGCAGTGCGAACATCCCGTTCATGTCTCTGCGGGACCTCCTCGAGAGATATGCTTCGTATCGATGATGTGGAAACGCCGCTTTTTCGGCGCTCGAAGATAGACTTTTCACTTTTGGGCCGACAATCAATTTGGTCCACTGATTCTGATTTGTTAGATATTGATTCAGATTTTTGCGAAATAGCTTCATCTGACTGATGCAACACATTTTCTTTTTGTTCAGATATATTTGACGCGTTTAGAGTTAGTGACGATTGACTCTTTTCAGAAAAATCCTCGACATGTATTGATGGTGTACTGGGAGCTTGTGATGTTATTTCTGGTTCATTTTCAATTTTCTCTAAAGTAGAAGAGTCGTCGGTTTTGTCCTTTTCTTTTACTGGTGTTATTATCGTTTCCGGTGAATTTGTATTAGCGCTTGAGTCTCTGTAAGAAAAGAAAAGTTTTAATAATCAGTCAAGTCAGGAATGTGTTAATTTAAATTAATGTTCGGTCTTGATACCGCGTATGTAGGGGTAAGTCAGCTACGAGGTCAGGGGCGCAGATGGGTGTGGGGCGTACGGGCGTGCCCCCGAAGCAGCAGAGCCGCCGCATACCACCACCGTGCACTAAACCGACTCTGCAACTGACGCTAGCCACACTCACCCGCGCTAACGACCAATCAAATTTAAAGCATAGCTATCAAATCCCCTAAACAATGGTAAACAGTCCGGAAGTTTCGATGTTTGTTTTCTTTTCAAATTCGATAGGGTACATTTTAATTCAATGTTATTTCGGTTTCACATTATAAATTATTACGTCACCCTAAAGCATGTATTTAGGTTCTATTAAAGAGTTATTAGCAAAAGCCGGTCAGTTTCGAAGTAGAGCGATTTGACGATAGCAGAAATAGGTCGTCTATGAGCGCCTTGAATGGGCGTGGAGTAGGTAATAATTTTTTGTTTTATTTAGATTACAAACACGCGATGTACTAAAATTTGGTGGTCAAATTATTCGTGGCATACTCAATGAACTTCTGTTGAATAGATAATAACGCTATTGAAGCGATTAGAATGATTTGGTATTTTATAATTTCCCGACGTCGACCCGGTGACCCAATTGGGCTCACTGGTTCTTGAGCGATGTGTGACCCAGCTTATATTTGAAGCCGTTGTTCTTTTCGTTGCTAAGAAACGGGTACAAACTATTTTTCTAAAAATAATGCTAGTCATTTGTGTAGGCAATTTCGAAATATGACTAACATCCTTACTATTTTATAAATTAGGAAGGCTACATGTAGTTAGAATTGGTTCTTGCTTAAACTTTGTTGGTAAATATATGTTTTTATATTATTTATTTTCGTTATGAAAGTATTATATTTAATAATATTATTATTAACTGTTAATTTTAAGCAATTATCCAGATTTACAGATAAAACATCGTAAGCTCATACACAAAACTACCAAAAGCGGTCGTTTAAAGAAGGTAAGATAATTTTAGTACGACACTTGGAGCAGACTAGTGTGTATAAAGTAATTATTTACCGGCAAGGTGTCTGGGCCATGACTGTATAATTATAGTAAAGAACGCAAGCAAACAAAAGGGCGCCAGGGAGTTCAATGTTTCCGATTTCATTTAATAACACTTGAACATTCGAGCTCATGGTTTGCTTAAGTAATCAAGGACTTAATAAGCCATTCGTTAGGCTACACTAAGGACTAAAGTAATTTAAATACTGACCCCTTTCTGAGTATAAAATTATAAGTTTTATTAAACTAATTAAACTTAAAGTTTTTTTAATAGCAATATGCAGACTTTTTTGGAAACAAACACCCACCGCACCGCATCAAACAAAACGCAAACCCATATATAAAGCCGAAAACTCGCACTTTCTTTCTCCTTCCGAGGCCCTTTCATCTTTAACCACTTCATTAAAATCAAAATTATCACTAACATTTCCAAACTCACATTACATACATTTACTAAACATCTCAAACGATATCTTGTTAACCTGTCCTATTCTGATACTGAAAATATTCTTATGGTGCAAAAATAGTTTTAATATAAATCTGTAGAAATAATTAATATAATTTTTAAAATACTGTTTACGTGTCAAAAGGAAGAGACTGGCTGCCCACAACACAGGGAATCCTAGTGTGAGGGCCAGTGCACTTTACTTTATCTAAATATCTTGTATATTGTGCATAAAAAAGTTTTTTCTTTCTCTTTCTTTCTTACTGTTTTCAATAAAACACGGTTTTGTGTCTTTCATCGTAAACACACAATTTGATGTTTATGCGTGTACATATCTAGTAACTGCTTACTTATTATTGTAGAATGCTGTACTCAATTAGACATTTGCTAATTTTTCCAGAATGTGAAGCAGTGTAAGTTGAGCAGTGTACTCGTAAGCCTAGTGGCTTTGGCGTGCGACTCTCATCCTGAGTTCGTAGGTCCGATCCCTGGCTGTCCACCAATGGACTTTAATTCTATGTGCGCTATTAACATCCGTTCGAACGGTGAAGCAAAACATAGTGAGGAAACCGTCTTACCGCCTTTAAATAAAATCTTTACTTTAATAAATAATTTTAATGTATGAAAATTTCAGGTTAACGAAGAATGTAAAAGCGCAACAAATCTGGTATTGAAACGTTACAACGTATGACCTGACATAAGTAGGTATGTTAGAGATTCGTATAAAAAACGCCTCGTATATGCATATAAATACCTTAATATGAGGTGTTTTGTGAAAACGCCATACAGTTAAGGGCAGAGCCATTATACCGTCAATAATGCACATTCTTTAACAACTAAATGTCATTCATGTGGTACACAAATCGAAAATTTGTTTTCATACTTCATAGAATCCGTGAAGGTAAGCCAACAATCGTTTGATGATTCAGCCTTCATTGAATAAAAGGAAAAATTTACTCGACAGCTGAAAATTTTCCCTAAGATCAAGGCTGAGGCTAATAAATATTATGTAGGCACCTTTACCTTTATGGGAGTTGAAATAATGAAAACAATAATTACACGGCCTATATATACATATATAGAAAACCACTTTTATACATATCTACAACTTAAATCATTTGAGAAATTTGTTGATCAAAGTATTATAAATATGTTGTTATAAAAATAGACTTCAAATAATTTCCAATAGTATTATAGGCACACTTACTGTTTTGTATTTATTGGTCTAACTTCTAATCTTCTTCCAGGAGAAGAGATACCTGTAAGAAATGAAATGTTTTTTTACGCATTTAATTTTTTTCACAAATTCAAAATATATTAAATACAACATTCATTTTGTGTAGATAAACTGTAGAAAAATGGAAATTAAAACCGCTTAAAGCGTATATGTTATGAGCAGATTTTATTATTATAGTATAGTTAATCTTGTATTCGGTTTAATATTTTGAATAAAGCTGTTGCACAATGACTACATAGTACGATAGCTTTATTTAAGAAAAAAAATATATCTTATCTACTCTTATCGTTAAATTTTAATTATTTACTTCAAAAAGAAGCAATGCTAAAATCTAATTCATGTCTCCATTTCCATGTTTTTTCATTACACAAATTAGGTATATATATTATTATAAGAATTTAGCCCAATATTCAATCATCATTTTAAAGAAATTCTGCTGTACTAGATACAGAAGAAATTAATCTATGGAAATTATTAATAATTATTAGATACTCTTACGTAGGTTAAGAAAATTTTAAAAACTTTATATTTGATTGTAATATATAATTAAGTATATATTTTAAATTAAAGTTCATCTATAGAAAAACTATATATATACTAAAAGAGATATATAATAATAGAAAAATAGATGTAATTAATGTTATTTGTACATAGATACAATATTTTATTTAAATGCATGAAATATACACGACTACAAGCTTGTTTATCCGTTTAGGTTCAAACATATAATCTAGATTTATGCTTACCCAACGATGGTGCAGAGTCTGGTAAGGGTTTCAGTCTTCTAGGCCTAGGAGCTGGGGCTGGAGTAGACATTGCCCGACGACGACGGGTCGGTACAGGTAGCTGAGACGTCCTACAAATGTCTAGTTGTATGAAGGTGTAATATATACTTATACCAAACAGGAATCAAGATCCTGGGAATTAATAGGAACTTAAATACCCAAGTAAAAAAATGTTTACAGTATTAATACAAACATTTATGCATAGATAGTATCACATAATTCAATAATAGTCTAGTAATTAATGCAACTGAGCAAATTCTTTGAAAAAGTACCTACGTTTTGTATATATAAAAAAACGAATTGTAGGTACCTGCTGATCATCAATCAACATACCTCGAAACATGGATTGGCATGTTTTCCAGCGGTTTGTTGATTTTGTCACGTAACTGTTAAAGAAATTTATAAATTAAATATAATATTTTGCATGGTCCTTTGAGAAGGTACTATGTTATCCATTTTTGTAATTTCTAAATGACTACTAATCTTATGGAACACTTGGGGGAACACTTTTTACAGTAACATGAGATGTTATTACTAGTGTGGCTTATGTTTTAATAGAGTTATTATATTCTTAAGTTAAAATGTCATGTAATTCGTAAAATACCTACTTTGTAACAAAACATGTCAGCATCGGATGAGACACCTAAACAACGCCTAACAGCAGCTAAAACAGCAGCTGGTCCCGCCGCCTTAGCCAGGCACATGGTGGCTTGAAGGCGGGCGGCTTCCAGCTTATTTAAATCTGTCTCCTGTTGGAATTTTAAATGTTAGTATAATTTTTCTTTACCAAATTGAAATGCTAATAACTTCCTGATGTTCCTCAGAAACCTTATTTGAATATTATAATAGCTAATTGTTAAATTTTCAAAAATTTGACTTTAATCATTTTGACATTACAATATGTTGATGTTGCAGCTTACCGTGATGATATTTTGGTCGAAAACCAATTCAACCAAATGATGTAATGCAATCCTCAGCAATAGTGCATGGGGTAAGGCAGTGGGTGCTGGTTCCCTTGAGAGTCTGCGCAACAGGTCTGGCAACATCTGCCTTATGCAATCTGCGTTTGCATTACGAATCATTGAGCACACAACTCCCTCTGCTGGTGCTCTTGTTGCTGGTATCTGCAAATGTAGAAATATAATAAACAGCCCTCATTTAGTAATGTAATAATGTTACGAAAATGTATACCAAATGACCAAACATTTATTTTACATTCACATGTACTATTTCTATCAAAACTTGCATCATTTGAAAATATTTAAAATCGCAATAGCCATCGTAAATAATTCCTATTCTTGTTTGTGCAATGTACTTATATTATTTATGACACATTTAATTAGGCTCCAGATAACTGGGTGTGTGTTCAGTCAGATCACACCAGCGAGTCCTTTATTACGTCCTCGTACTCCACGAACTTTCACGTTTCTAATTTATGACTTGAATACATACCGCATCACTAAGGGCCCACATATGTTGCACAAGAGATAGGGCAGCGGTCTCCAGCAAAGCGACGTTATCTGATTCCAATAATGCGCCGTGGAGCTGATCCGCTGCCTTTACAGCTGATATCCAGTTTTCCTGCTCAATATGTAATATATACAAGTATATCAATATAATAAAATATAGCTTCTGATCGTTTTATATCATTTTATTATGAACGGAATGAACATTACTCAATCGTTACGGATTTAGGTCTTAAACCTTCTAAAGTCCCATGGTAAAGTCTGAGCTTAAAATTAAAGTCCCACTTTAATTTTAAGCTCAGGCTAATCCACGATATAATTGTGAACTTAAATTATATGAAACTTAATATCCTTAAAATATAATAACTAAAATATATTATTAAAAGGAGTCCCTTTAGGCAAGGTTCCGAAGATACTGGCAGCGTTCTCCCTTTGAATAGCTAGACTACTTCTTTGTCCGAGGTAGCTGCCAATTCTTCGGTCTCCTGTGATGTCGACTAACCTATTTGCTATTTCTTTAAAAAATAAAATTAATAATATTTTCCTTAACTTGATATTACTTTTATATTCTGTAATTTGGTTGTTGTATATTATAAATTGTATATCTTATACTATGTAATGTCTTTGATTAAAATTGTCATATTAATATTGTAGTTATAAATAAATGTGCGAACTAAATCACGTTACGTTTTTTGTAAAATAAAACAAACTTACAAAATAATCTTTAAAGACATTGACAAATACATATTGTGCAAACATTTGCTTTTGCGATTTATAATATTACGACTATCGTCTGAAAATAAAGCAGGGGTCAAATATAAGAAAAAATAATAAACATATTCGGGTGACATTACATAGCACGTCATAAAATACAGAAAACAAAATGTAACTAAACACGTAATCAAAATTTATCGTCAAAACATATCTAAACTCAACGTTTTATTGTGTCTAAGGGAATAAAATTAGCATGCAAAGGACCATTTTCGCCCAGACAGGTCAAGGCAAATCTCTTTTGGAACAGCCCCCGAGTTAAAATAACAATTCTTGAAAGGATATAAACGCGAATTTATAACATTAGTTATAACGCATAATCTAAAGATAATATAATATTAGCCCCTAAGTTTTTCTATTATATTAATAATAGAAAAACTTAGGGGCTAAACTTATTTGAATTTTTTGTACTTAATAAGAGTTTCTTAAAAATATATTTAATTTCTTAATTTATATTTATTTATAATTTCTAACTTTTACGGGGAAATCTAATTTTAATTTTTTTTGTTATATTATTAGTTATATATACACACAAAAATATTTATCGAAAACATTAAAACTGATTTCATAATGTCAATTTAAAACAAACAGTGTGTCTGTCGATAGTCTGTCGCTTATTTTACCTAATCTTAGTGCTTATTAACTTAAATTAAAAATAATTAATTATTATCAATTCATATTTACCGTATTATGCAACTGTTCTGAAATGTATTTTGGTACTACGCCTAAGGCCTCCCAATCATAGTGTAATTGTAAGGGGGATGATGGCCGAGGAGAGATAAGCAGTGATTCTGGAGGAGAAGATGCGATCAAATCCAGTACGAATCTGTTTAAATGATAAAGTACGTTTAGTGTTTGGGAATTTAATTTACTTATATGTATGTATAACTACAAAGAAAGTCGGCAAAATAGGTATCATCCAGTATATACTGATATCACAGGAATCTATACTTTTCAGGGTTCTTGTGTTTCTTGTTTAGACTTCAAGTCTATGAGGAATGTTTAGTTTAATATCAACATCACAGGTCATTGCATTAATTGAATAACGAGTAAGTAAGTGGCCCACGAAGGAATGTTTTATTTACTTACATATAGGAAATTAATATTATTATTACTATCAATAAATAAGTGAGTGGCTGAATTGAGTTATGTAAGGCGGTTCAGTAAATATTTCAAGAGGCCAACCAAACTTATTTTGTTTTATTAGCTTGAATCATACTCGCCTATCAGTATCAACGGTCACGCGTGTTTGTGGTCTTCTCGGTGACACGGTGGGACTCCGTTGTAAGTTATGTAATACCTCAACTTCTCGATGTGATTCCACAGGACTGGAAACCGTCTCAGGAGATTTCACTTCAGAAAGGGTAAGGGCAAAACCTGTTCTTTCTTTCGATTTCGTTTCTATCGTTTTCTTTTTCTTATCGTTAAAGTAATCATACAGCTCACTTAAAGACTTTGATTTTGTTCTATTATCATTTCTGCTCACATTAGCCAAACTTTTTCTTTGTTTTTGGATTACTGGTAGCGGTATTCCACTTTTTTTATGAGGTGCAAGAGTTTCTCTTTCAACAGCTTCTCGTTTTATTTCTTTTGCCTTATCTAATATGGATGGTCTATCTGGTAAACTTACTTCCTCGTTTAGTTTTTCTAATAAACTCCGAGAATTATTTTGGTTTGAATCATCCTCACTATTTAACAAATTATCACTGTCCGGTGTCCGTATTTTTACACTTTCTCCACCGAAACGCACTTTTTTCACTATAACATCTGCATCTTCTTCAGATTCCTCCTCACTGTACTTTAGGAACAAACGATCGTCACTAGAACATTCATCATCACTTGCAACATTTTTGTCAGATTCGGTTTCATTTTGTTCTAAGACTGTCATTGTAATTGCTGTGTCCGAATCGAACTTAATTTCTGTCTCTATTATCACTTTAGCGTAATTACTATTGTTCAACGGTACTCTATATGATTCGTCTGACGAAGAATCAGTAGAGAAATGGATGGGTATTGTTGCTGGATTATTTAAAATTCTATTAATATGTATCACATTTTGGTTACGAGACCGCCTTGGTCCGTAATAGACGTCCATTGAGTCTTCGTCGTACATTTCACACAAGTAGCGAAATTTATCTTGAACTCTTGGGTCCAGCCTTGAAAAGCACAGGGCGTAGTCACGTGGTCCACACACGCGACGCAGTTTCATTAAAGATCGCAAAGCAGCGTCCTTATGCACAGAATCGAACAATTTCTCACCCAAATTTTCAATTACCGGAAATATGTCGAGGTCTCTATGTCTTCGTTTTAAAATTCCAAAAAGTGTTGGTATAGATAAAACTAAACCAGTCACAACGTTTATTTTAAAACTTAAATCTGCAGATTGAGGTCGAATATTGTTATAGGAACACTTATCTAGTATTGCACGTGCCCCACATTCTGGTTCTTCGCAGTGGGTGCAAAAAACCCTAAGCGCATCCAATGCAGCTTTTCTAACGTTCGGCGACGTATGTCCCAGATTGTCTATAACTTGATCAAAAGGGAATGAAAGTGCATTGCCTGAGAGAGGTAGAAGATCAGCAAGCACTCTTAAAGCGTGAAGCCTTACTTCCCATTCCGGGTGAGTGAGTCGATCCTTGATGGCGATATAAAGGAGATGAACGTCGAGATCCGGCGGTAGAGCGCGGGCTCGCAATATTCGGTCCCACAGAGGTGCGAGGGGAGGCGGCGGTATTTCAGGCAGTTGCATGGTGAATTGCCGGCGAGCGCCGCTGGCGTGCCCTCGGCTCGCGACGTGAATCCCAACTGGGTTAATGATCGGCCGGTAAGCCACACTCTGACCAATCGATGGATAAACACAGGTGGTTGTATACTATCTTAGACTTTTACAATATTTCATTATAGGCCAGTGCTATAGAAATAGTTAATACACATTACACATATTTTAACACCTTACTAGTAAGCCCGCATATAAGAAATCGATACCGGTGCGTGGGTGGTATATTATTAAGATTAGGTACCTTACTATTGAAAACGGTAATTTTAAAGCTATTTATAATTAAATTTGATGTCTAGAGTAAGTATTGGGTTCGATTCCTGTTAGGAGAGTATATTATAACGAAATTTGTATTTTAATTACTCTTCGCCTCTGGTTTGAGGAACCGACTGACTGGTACGGTGTAATGTCACTATTAAGTAAGGACATTTCTGAGACGAAAAGTATGATACTTACGCCTCGGTAGCATAACTGAATACAGGTGTATGCAAAAGCTCTGCTCAGATGAGCCGATATGATGGGCCATATATGTTTCGTATTCTTCAATATTTCGTAGTTAACTGAGAGAAATATTTAAAGCTTATGTTTTTAGTGTACTGAAACTATATGTGAAGTTCTTATTCGACCGATGCATAGTTCTTAGTTGCTTTATCATATGAACTTGAGAGATAGACGTGTTTGCTATAGATCTGTTACGTAGATACGTTAGGTAGGCACATCTTGTGTTCTAAACTGAGCTGACTTGTAATATGGTAGGTACAACAAACGAATTAATCTTAGAGGTTTTTGGAGTTCATAAAATATTTTTTCATTCACATTCTGAAGAGATAAACAAAAATTGTCTGCAGTGAAAGATCATTATATTTATTTTTATCAATTAAGATATCTCAGTACATTATTCTAGAAAATAATCTATCCATAACATTTTTCCACAGTTTCCAAATAACTGGGTTACGGACACATGACACATCCTTTACAAAGTTTCAATTCCAAATCCGTAAAAGTTACCTATTCTCTTAGATATTTACTATTTTGATCTTATTATTTTACGCTATCAATTTGAATATATAACTTTAGTAATATAAAAGCTACGTGTTATAAATGCGTAGAATAATCTAAATCAAATGCATTATTGTCGGCGGCACATTTTTGTTTCTTCTCCTCTTTTCTCTTCTTAACTTCTGCGGCGTGATCATAAATTTGAATAATAGTGTCCATCAGTGGTAGGTCCTTGGTTTCGGGGGTGAGTATGAGAAGAAGACTTGAAATCACTGCTACACATCCGAAACAGAAAGAAGTCAGGATTGGTGAAATTGTGGTCTGAAAACATCACCGCAAGTAAAATATTTGATAAATTTATATAAGCGTTAAAGACGGAAATTAATAGTTTAATTTTATAAAGATATTATTAAAATATACCAGTTATTGGTGCAACAGCCTTGCGATTCTGTAACTCACACAGCGGTTTTCACAGCGGCGGTCGCGCTCTAATCAGTCGTAAAGCAGTCATTTTACGATTTGGCATTCTAATAAGCTTGTAGTTTATTGTTTATTAGAATGCCAAATCGTAAAATGACTGCTTTACGAATGATTAGAGCGCGACCGCCGCTGTGAAAACCGCTGTGTGAGTTCGAAAAGTGAGTTATAGAATCGCAAGGCTGTATTTGAAGTTAGTTATAAAGCTTGCTTGTGTTCAAGGAACATACAACCGATTAAGGCATAAGCCAAATACATAAATGCATTTTAAACAGATCTTGACGTTTATTATCAGTGTGTCAAATTAATAATTCCTTATAAATTTATGAGCAATTTATTTCAATCATTATTTCTATTTATATCAATTGATTGTTGAGATGTTCAATCAAGACTTTAATGTTACATTGTGGGTAATATAACGAAACTGTCTACCTATTTGTCTTACGAACAATTTTATGTACCAGCATGGGACTCTCTAATTTACTCGTAGCAGTCGCGAAATAAGAACTTAAATGTATTCTATAAGATTTCATTAAATTGTTAAAAGTTTAATTTATGATAAAAAAAATGATATCATTACACAGTATAAGTTCTTCACCACTTCTGTAGATTGTCCGATGTAAGACATTACATGTTTAAACTCGTATAATTCGTTTCAAGTGTTATAACTCTTCATATTAGATTCAAGTAAAGCGGGCCATAGACGGACCGCATGTTGCAGTCAAGACCGACAGCAATATGCGGTTTGCTCAGGAACTGCTCGAGCGGTTCGTGTATATGAATTTAGTATGGAAACTGCAGATCGCCGTGCGGCGACCGCTTAAAGCAGTCGGTATCGGCTGCAACATGCGGTCCGTCTATGGCCCGCTTTACAATAATATACGTATATTATGTAGTCTGATTTTTTGTTAATTGGCTACTTTAAACAAATATTTTTCAAAATGTAAAAAATTAATATATCTCCAAAAGATTATAAAATAATTCTAAATACTGTTACCAGCATGGAAGACAAAGGCGCCAAGGTGCTTCCGGCACAAGAAGCCAAAGTGCAAAAGCCTAGTAGCGATCCTCTAACGCTAGTGGGAAAGAGCTCCATTGTATAAGTAGCGATGCCAGTATAGCAGGCGGCCACTAGTAACTTTCCGATGAGGAATAACGTTATCTTAACACCGATGTAATCTAAAAATATTAATGATAAATAAATATACAGTTTTATTATTGAGTGAGCAATAAAATAACGAAAACAAGCGACAATTGTTGCGAAAATAACCCATGGATAATTTTACTTTTAGTAAAGAATTTTATTCTTAATACGATTCAAACTCGATTTTCATATAAGTACGAGAGTTAGGGTTTGCGCTTAGTCTTGGACTCTGATAACCGTAACTCGTGAACTTCGAACTCGTTTGCTTAGTAATCAAATAAATTTTAAAATAAAATTCCCTCTATAAAGAATATATCTATTCAAGTATTTTATTTCCACCGCCTCCGCGTTTTAGTCGTTAAAGTACATAAAATACAGTTCGGAAATTCTGGGTTCAATTGTCGATAAAACAATAATTGTTATAAATTGTTAGGGGATAAAGACTGATTGCCTTGAAAATAATAATATTAAACAATCATAAAAGGTTTTCCTTCATAAACAAGTGGTGATCGAACATAAGCGAAACCAATTTAGGACCTCAAAGTAACTAAAATATTATACTAAATCACTCATGCATACTGCATATGCAATGCATAAAGTTGCTGTATCATACTATGGTTTGATTCTAATAACTTTAAATTATTAGTTTTTTTATGTAAAACATCGATTTGTAAATTAATTTAACATATTTACCTTCAGGAGTATATGCACTGGCTATATTCGCGGCAGCACATATCACATACCCGAAGCACAAAGGCAATTTCCGTCCGACCTTATTCATGAAATACATAGAAACTATTTCACCGGGAAAAGACATAACAGCAGCTAATAAAAAGTTTGTATATTTATTTCCAGGCAGATATACAGAATTCACAATAAGTCCATAGTATATAAAACTAACTGCGAATCTACAAAATGCAGCCACTAGCAACCTCTTCATCATCTCTTTTGATTTTAACACTGCGACGTATCCTTCTCTTTTAGTTTTGGCATTATTAGATTGTTTTAATATACCTTCATTTATCGTATCTAAATAATCTAAATTGACATTAATTTTATTCATTCCAGCAATTTTTCGCAGCGTCTTCTTGGCTTTTTCTGTTCTCCGGTTAAGTATTTGCCAGCGCGGGCTCTCTTTTAATAATACGAAATAGGATAAGAATATTAAAGATGGAGAACACATTATGTATAATAAATGTTTCCAGTATGGCACAAACATCGCAATGCATGCGAATATCGCTTCTCCCATATATATCGCATATGCGAATAATACGCCAGCTAAGAATCTCGTCTTCTTTCCACCGATTTCAATCACTGAAATATATATTTTTTTAAATAAGTAATATTTTTACCCCTACTGAAACTCAAAACAGATACAAATATCTGACGCCCTTAAAAGATTGTAGTGCCACCGTTCTTTCAAATGGGCTTATAAATAATTTTCTTTCTAGTGTAGATAGAATAGAAATACTTACTTAGAACTGTAGCGGCAGTATAGGCTCCACCAGACATCGACGATTCTATAAACTCAAAAAATATATACAAATTATAGGACTTCGCCATGGTCTTAAAGTTTCCCAAAAACACGCCTAACGAACAAATAATGAGCGCTGGTTTCCGTCCAATCCTGGAAGAATTTTAATAATTAAAAATATGTTTTCTATTAACATAATACTAATAGGTACTAAGGTTTAGAAGTAAATGTTATGTCCCGGAGCATTACTTGGATGTATTAGGCAAGTAAATGATTAGTCTTGTCTGCCTTACAAGCTGGTGTATAGTTCACTGAGAATTTGACTTTCGGTTTACGGTTCTAGTGTTTTCCGCGCGGTATATGTGACATACCTACATTATGGCGGGAATGTGCAACGAAATATTATCATTTGAGAATTTAATTTTTTAATGAGTCGCCCTGTAGAAGTGCGGTTTAGATCAACACGCAAAAAAATAATATGCTATGATTATATGAAGAAAACAAACATACAACCTTCATAAAATGCAATGTGCCGGAAATCCCTTGTTAACGTGATTTCCGAGCCAATAAACTTTATAAGATAGATGCAATAACCATAAAGCTTTATATCTACAATGGAGAATTACTTACGGTAAATAATACAAATACAAGTTGCATTGATAAGAAAAACCCATATACAAACGAACTCGGTATTTACTTAACTTATAGGACAATTAAATGTTATGATATCAATGTGTACTACTGATAATATTTATTACTGATTTAATCTTTTCACCATTATACGAGTAACCTGATGATGAACATAAGCTATAGAATTGTATTTAAAAAAAGTTTTATATGAATTTACGGGAGTGTGAGCCAAGGTGTGAAAACAACTGCGAAACTATTAACAATAGAGCAAAGTGATGTACTACAGTTTTATAGAAGATATTAATATCTACTAAAAAGTCCGCGGTACCATATTATGTTTGACTAAAAAAATATTTTTTTTCATTTAAAAGTCTATTTATCGAAAAAAGCTTTAGGCTTTAGAACATCGTACCGAACATAATAAACAGCAGAGCACAGCACAAAATACTTAACACTAAGTATATATTATTGAATTGACTGATTTCTCAATAATTACCAACATTCTTGATCGCAATTTTACGTTGATCTTGTCTTGCAATAAGATCTTACAGGAAGGAGGTTAAAAAAACCGTTACATAATCGCGCCATAAAAAGATTTTTAATTAATTAATCTACGTAGGTAAGCCCTAAAATATACGACCGGTGTCGCACATTTTTTCAAATCGTGTTATATGCTATAATAAATAAAACTCAACTTCAGCTTGGCGTAGGGCGGCGTAATCATTTTTATGATTTAAAAAAATGTTTATTGTAATTTAAAAAATAATTTCTATGTGCAAATTACGCAATTCAAAGGTTTCCTAAATGTGGTAATCGATTCTTACACTGTTTATCAAAATTTCATGTTTAATAGACAGCACTTACCTATCACAAAGCCATCCAATTATAAGCATGGAGACAGCCATTCCTATGTTTCGAGTCATTCCAATGAAATTCGTTCTCCATGGCTCACATGCCATATCCAACTGAAAAAATATTAATTCGACACTTTTTAATTAACTCAACATAAATAGCTATTCTATGTTATGCTGGCTGGTTTATACTGGAAATATGGTAATTGCTAAAACTCGTAATTCTTGAAAAAACCTATCGAATGTGCTTGCAATATCGAGGAGTTCGAGTTAGCTAACGTATCGAAGACGGCAAGGTCGCTGGGAGTGTTTGGTGTAAAATCTTGAAATTTTGAAAAACATGTTAATAGGATAGAAGGTGAAGCAGGAGACGGGGAGCCCTACTGCCTCTGGCTCGTGAATATTTAAAGAATATTGTCGTTTATGGCTTGTAGCCTACAGCACCATCAAGTTGGATTTAAAATATAACTGACATGTGCCAGGAGATTTCTTATATTATACTTTTATAACATTCTTTTATCGATATATCATGTTTAGTCGACCGTAGGATTTGTTTAGAAAAACAAATATAAACCTATATCTTATTATAGCACTATTATCTATTATTAAAATAATTCACGTAAAAAATATAACTAACTTCTTCTGCAGTTTAAATAATTCTGTGCATTAATTATTTTCTGGAAAATTTAGAAAGTTATCCTAATATATTTATAATAATAATCCAGTGCCACTTACAACACTTAAAGGGCCCTTTTCTCTGATTGCATCCGTTTCTTTGATCATGTGTATTTCATAAACAAGTAGGTGATTAGCCTTCTGTCTGACACATGTCAAATTTGGATGTGAGACATGCCGATTTCCTCGACCTCAGGGATGAGAGTCTCATCCCTCACGATGAAGCCATTACACTGTCTGCACTGATAGTTTTATGTTGCATGCATTTAATATAGCCTTACCTTTTCGATTAATAAAATTGAACGTATTAAGAATCGCAATTAGTGCTTTTGCATATTGGGTCAAACGATTTGTAATAATCGAATCAATTATTATCGATGGCTAACTCAATGCCATATTTTAATCAATAATAATTATAAGGATTAACAATAATGGGAAGATGTTTCTTGTACTTAGGGTACTAAGTATTAAAAAGTAAAGTAAAGTCGAAGCCGAACTCATTGATATAGGTTAGTAAACCATCGATTTAAAAGTGACTAGACAAGAAGCGGCACAAATTTTAAATATTTCATAAGACATTTGAGTTAATATCCTAATAAATATCTATTTCTTTTTTAAAAATATACTATAGGATCAATTCATCAGCCCTGCGATTCTGTAACTCACTTTTCGAACTCACACAGCGGTTTTCGCATCGGCGGTCGCTCTCAAATCAGTCGTGAAGTAGTCATTTTATGATTTGGCATTCTGATAAACAATAAACTACAAGCTCCCACCTTTTCAGAAAAGAAAAGTGAGTTACAGAATCGCAAGGCAGATCATGGACGACGGAGCTATGCTTGTACGTATGTACATACACAAAATAAATAAATATTAATAATAAAAAAATAAATATTACATTTCGAATTGAAAACAACCTCTTTCGGAATTTTCGAAAACATTATTCCAACCAGCCATAGATAATGTTTTTCACTTTTGTAATCCTTATACTAACATATAATAAATAATATTATTGTTATTAATAATATAATTTTGCTATATCTTGTAAGTGGGGCAAAAGGGGTCAACAATGCTTCGCAATCGCCTCCTTTTTGAGCCACACATTTAACGTCAGACCACGTTAACCTAATAGGCGGGTCCACAACTGAGCATCGCCAATATGAGAACTATTTATTCAAAAATTACTCGATTTCAATAAGCCCGACAAGTGCCTGCGTTTTATTGTACTTATGAAGTTGGTTAGTTGTACTCTTTACCTATCAACCTGAAACAATTATTGTTACACTATCAATCGAACTTAGATCGTCAAGGTATATGCCACGAGTTACCAAGCTAATAAGGTGGCGAACCTGTACCATACAAATACTTACGTAGTAAAAAGAAGATAAAATAGCAAAGTATTGATATTTATTTAAAGTAGGCCATTTTAACTACGAGTAGTAGAACGATGCTTTAGTACTTTATAATAGTAATTTATGATGCCTACGACATCGACTATAAGATAGACAACAAAGACGTTGAAATTAAAAATACATCTTATAGCTTTGATTAATTACGAAATCGAACCAATTTACGTCAAGGAAGGGTACGTCGTATTTACAAGTCCGGATATAATTGAATTCTGAAGGAAAATATAACTTGAGGTCTTTTGTCACTCACTACTAAGGTCACGCTATTATGTAATACTTACTACGAAAAACTGCATGAAAAGCGTTTCCACATATTAATCATTTTATTGTTTTATATATCTGTTAGGCCCGTATTCCTAGTCATTATATAAAAACTCCCTAAATATAAAGACTCCCTGCGCCCGTAGGGAGATACAATTCTTTATATTTTTCAATAAACTTTACTATTGGTGTTAACATATGCAATTAGTATTTCGGTAGACATCGAATATTGAATTGTGATTACAAAGTACAGGCTAACAACCTAAGCCACAAAGGATTTTATAGGTTTGTATTAAAATTTTACATTTTCAATGAGGAAAGTCGTAGAAAACCTTTAGCTACGAATTATTTAATTTAGACTATGGAATCCTATTCTATAGATCTAGCTGTGATTATTTTATTTTAATTGTTTGAACGGAGTCCGTCTCTTGATAAAAACAAAAAGTCCGCAGTGTAAGTTAAAAACAACGTAACTGAACGTAATTTCAGATTTGTTAACTTTAGTGTATCTACAGCCAGTGTGTACTGCGTAAATCCTCAAATAATATCCATATGCTCTTTTCTAGCATATTTTCTCCTACGAAATAACTCTAACCATAAACAATACACATACTTGGGTGTTAACAAAACTAAATATACACATACCTCACCTACAACAGTATCGTTGCTTTCGTATACCCATCTCGTACAGGCTTCGTATTGACCAGTAAAAGTTTCGTTTGTACAGATTTCACCCACCGCGAAACTGTCTTTTAGTATCGGTTTCAGGCATTTGTTCGGAACCGTATCGGGCCACCATGGCACTAAGAATTCTGTTGTTGAGTTCTCACACTCGGGAACGTAGCATCTGCAATAAAAATACTACATAATATATCGAAAATAAAAGAACCTATTACAATATTTCTGCAATACAATTTTATAAACTTCGTATTTTCTTAAGAAAATTCTTAATGACTGCACACTAATATCAAATTCTGTGCCAGTCTTTATAAGGTTGACGAAAAACCGGACTAAACGCGCAGTATATCTAAGGTCTAAACAACTCATTAGAATAATAAATTATTTATTAAAAGTGGTTTCAATAAACACTTAATTTATTCAATGAGTTAAATAATTGTTATGACACATAAGTTTGTACTTTTATGTATGTGAAAGACTGAGGTCAACACTATAATATATTTATTGCAATATTATTTATTTTAATTATAGATAAAATAGTGTAATAATATTAATCGGTACTTTAGTCTAGATTTACAATGCCTAATTTAATAGCCAATTTAGTTCATATACCGTTTAGCAATAATAAGTTGGCAGCCTATAGAATAATAATTGTTTTTATTTGATAAAAATAATAATTTTAGTACTTATATGTCTTACCTATATTCAATATCACCAGCAATAAAAACATAGTTAACATTATTCATAGAAACAAAAACAATCGGCAAGCATGCGAGAAAGTACTGTATTATTTGATATTTTCCGAACTTTTCAAAAATATCAGACACCACGCTTTTTCCTTTTTCACTATCCATTGTAAGTAATAAATGTTTTAACTATTCTTAGCTAGATCCCACATCTCGCGTGATTCGTCGAGCGACCCAGTAAAGACTGAATTAGTGATAATTGCATCTTATTTAAAATTCTATTTACATTCACTATTTAAATATTATAGTACATGTTCGCACTGCTAAATTCTGCACTTATCTGATTTTTGATAAAAAATAATTTTAAACGATTGTTTTATGCATTAATCATAATGCCTTTACACGACTTTTTGCATACACTACTGGTAAGGCATCATGACTAAACACCCAGGCAAGTGTGTCTCTCTACTCAGTGTTTAGTGTGCGTTAGACATCTACTGTTGACAGTGAGGATGTATCCTCAACCTATCACTGTTTTTGTAAGTGATAATAAAAAATATGATCAAGTAAGCAGAAGATGATCCTCGGAACATTACAGAATTAAATAGTTCAACTTAGATTATCACTTCTGTCGGGCGTCCCGAGATGCACATCTTTTTAAAATTTATATCAAAATATGTATAACAAAATTTCCTTTTTTGTATTAAGAACAACCTACTTTATTTTTATAATAACTCTTAACAATATTGTCGTAATATGCATATAAAACAAACATAAGCAACTCTTCCAGAAGTAAAACAATTGCTGCAAGAGCGGAAGGAGCTTTTGATACAACGTAAATGTAAAAAAAGCCGTAAAAGTATAACAGATTGCTAATTGCAAATTGATTAGAGAAGGAGGGAAAGAAAAACTAAACGGTGAATAGTAACATGGAAAATTGGAATAAAAAAGGCGCTTAAAACGAACATAATGCCAAAAAGGACTTGATACCTAACATAAATAATAAAGATGACAAAACTACGGCTACATGGTCTGAGTTACTAAAAAATACCAAAATTTATACAGAAGCCATATGATGGGACAAGTCGTTAAAGAATACACCAACTGTAACAACTGATGAAGAAGAAATACCTAAAATACTAATAAGAATAAACAATAAATAAAATCAAAATAACAAAGGACTTGGATCAACTAAATATTTAAAATATTTTGTTCGTAACCAGGTTCCAATCACATTGCCAGTTATTGCCTCAAAACTTACAGATATATTAAACGACATTATTAATACACAAAACATATCCCTATGGAATGGCTACATAAAAATGACAATAAATTTTATTAAACATTTTGACATGCGAGGGTACAGAAATTCGCACATTTGATTAACTGTGCACAAATTAGCCTGGTACAAAATGGTTGATTTTTTTTAATCATAGCATTCGCGTCGGTATGGTGAGCTGTAAGTCACACCGGAGAAGTATGGCATGACACTGCCGCCTCTTATTTTTTTATGGACTATCGAAAAATACTAGAACTTTTTGTGGAACAAATCGTTTAAAAGTCGTAAATAATCCGACGAGTTCGACTAACGCCCACGCGCTTGAGCCGCCGGTACCATTCTTTTTTTTAATTTCGTAATAAGACCCCTGTAGACCCGCCATACTGGTACAAACTATAAATGACTAACTATTTTGTGTTACTATCTCCCGGCGTATTTAAGCATATTAGAATTACGTTTGACGGTTATTAGTGTTGTCCAGAATGTCTTCTTGCCGTTGTTATCTGTGGCCAGTTAGAACGCGGTATATGTTAATTTTGTACGATGTCTGTAGTCTACAATTCTCCACTACTACAAAGTACAATATGATAGTTGATTTATTTGATGTCTGTGCTTGTAAATTGTTATCAAAATATGTCGCGATTTTGTAACCACGATAGTTTGTTTTTATTATTTATTTAAATTGATGTGATAATAATAATTTATTTCACACAAAAGTGTTCTAATATGGAGTTACAATATAGTTTTAAATTGCGATTGTATATGAAAGTGATTAGAAGTTAAACTAACATCAGCCATAAACATGAACATACAATGTTTTATAGTCATTATCGGCGTTTCTAGAGTGCTTTCGCAAAATGAAGATTGCACTACAAATACTAGCCGATGTGACTATAAGTTAAGTATAAAGCAGTTGTCTCATACTCTAGCTACCAAGTTAACAGAATATACTGTCAAAGAATTAGGAAGCGAGTATACATCGCATTTAGAAGTACGAACTGCATACAAATTGAACTATGATACAACAGATGCATTGCTCTCCAACATAGTAGAAAAACTTAACTATAAACTTTCTTCAGCAGTGAATATACTTTTGGATATGAAGGAATCTCTTGATTTGAATAATACACTTACTTTTACTCATCCATGCCCCTTTAATTCTATCAGAAAATCAGTTTTTGTTAAACCAAGTTATGTTTCTAAAGATCCCCAGATAAATATGCTTGAACGCTTTAAAGATTTGAAGATTAAAAGACAATACTTTTTAGCGCACATTGATTATGGCACAGACAAAGATTGTACAAATATACCTCATTCTAATTTACGGTATTTATACCATAAAGTTATTCATGGAAGCCCTAAATTGGTTGTTTTCATCATTGATAATAATATGAGAATGGAATCATTACAACATGCTATTAATATTGCTAAAGAAACTGTATATGCTTTGCAATCTATAGATATGATTGCTTTAAAGATTACTAATATGACAAGCTTTATCAAGTTTGAAGATATATGCAGTAATGATGATGTGTCCAATATTGGTAATGCTACAGAGAGTAACAAATTATTGTTTCGTGAATATTTGTCAACAATAGATTTTTCATCTACAAGTCTTCCACCTCAAATAATTGGAAGAGAATTAAAAACACTCTTGAATGGAACACATTTACCGGAAAACAAATTATTAATTTTTCTGACAGATACAAAAGTAATGGATAACGATATATGGTTAAAGATATTCCCACATTCAACAAATGAAAATGTAAAGTTTGCCATTGGTTTACTGTATGAAAACTACATTGATAAAAATTGTTCTTTGGGTATCTTACACTTTGACAAGTGGCACAATCATTCTAATAATCATTCTGTTATGAAAATGCATATCAATGACAGTGGAGTGATTGGCCAAGTAGCCTCTGCATTTATATCATTGCTGCCTAATAAATATGAACAGCAACTGAAAGTGGAATTACCTATTTGGGAAGCAACAGAAAGGGATTTCATTGTTTCTATGGTTATTCCAACATCAAGCGGTATCCTTGGTTTGGATTTATACTGGTCTGACCTTGCCGAAGATATAATTTATTTTAAAGGAAACATTCAAAGGCGAGCATTTGTCATGGATTTTTCAGGTAAAATTCTTATGCATACATACTTTCCAAGACCTGAAGCCATTTCGGAAAAAATTAAATTTACAACTTTGGATAAAATTGAAACCTCTCCATTTATTGAAAATGTCATGCAAGAAATGCTTTTAAACAGTTCAGGTAATATGACTGTAATTAAGAATAATACAACAAGTAAAATCACTTATTCATGGAAATGGGTAAGACAACTCTATATTGCTTGTATTGTTTTTGAGGAATCAAATTCTACAATATTTAATATGTCAAATACCTTTCTTTCTAGAACAAATAAAGAGATTCTTTTTCATAGAATAGATTTATTTCCTCCAAGGACTGGTAGGATTTGTAGACATTTTAAACAGATATCAACTATTGAACAGGGTACTGTGTACTTAAGTCCTTCTAGTTTTCAATCACCATTTACTTATCTCTATGATATGAGCGATGGTCAAGAGGCTATAACATATATGCAGAATTACTTAGCTTATCTTAGGAGTGTTGCTCATGGTTTGTTATCGAATCCTGGCCTGAAAAGTGAAATACAACATGATGTAGGCTTTTTAAATTCTATATTATCTTTTTATAAGAGACAACACTTGCATGGTAGCCTTTCCAAATATGTAGTCAGGAGGTATGCAGTTACAGATAGTGGAGTCCTTGTAATGTTTCCTGGAACTGTGTTAGAATATGATTATGAACCAGTGAGAAGACCCTGGTACACACATGCTATAGAAAATCCTGGAAAAATCATATTAACTTCTCCTAATTTGGATGTTGGTGGTGCAGGATATATTGTTACAATTTCGTTTTCTATTAAAAGCCCTAGTTATCCTGCCATGGTAGTAGCCATGGATGTTACTATGGGATTTTTATACAAAATTCTGATAGATAGTTCACCTCTATGTTCCATGTCATATAACAAATGTTTTATCATGAATAATAGGGGTTATTTAGTGTCCCATCCTGGTCTAATGGATCCAAATAGTTCAGGCCCAATTGAGCAACAACATATAACACATAAAGAATCAATGATTGCAATTGATATGTTAAATCACAAAGGGTTTGTTACTAAAAGGTTATGCAACAATTTCTATGATAAAACAATTCAAAGATACTATGATTTCAACACATCCTTGTCCTCTGTCCTATCAAATGTTGTATCCACAGATCATTGTGTACACTATTATATAACTGCTATACCTGGTACTAACGCATTCATTGGCCTCATTAATGCATCATGCAGTGTTGGCGCCTTTTGCCCATGCAGTATGGTAGATCGTCTATGTTTAAATTGTAATCGTATGGAACAAACGGAATGCGAATGCCCTTGCGAGTGTAGCTCGGAACAGTTTGAGTGTCCAAATTCAAACGCTTCAAATTTCATCCAGAATGTACCGCTGTGCGGAATTACTCCCGAAAGTAATAATCATAAATCCCACTACTTCCACAATGTAGCTGAAAATCTTAAGTCATGCTTTGATTTTCAGTGTGAGGCATATCTCACGCATTCCGCTTGTCTGGGTGTATTAGGCTGCGAATGGTGTCAAATTGATGCCGATGGGCGATCCCCTTTGACAACTCCTTTCTGTACGTCACAGTCTACATGCTTTAATGGTGTGTTGGGTGCTGTGACTCCATATGGAGAGGGTACCTTTGGTCATATAAATAAAGATGCATTTGCTAGTTATTCAGCCATAGGTCCAATAGCAGGGTTTATTGTAACAGTCAGTTTGATAATAGCTGTAGCAACATACTGTTATAAACAGAATACCTCAACTGCAAGTTGTCACAATTTATACGTTGACGGTCCTGCTGAAACATGGCATGATGCTGATGTGCAGATGGGTAATTTACAATCTGATGATATGCACGATGCTTCTGGACAAGACAAGCTATTACCAGCTTTGGAAATTGAAGCTCCAATATCTCCCTACCGTGTTATAACGGGATATAGACGGCCTCACACAGCTGGGGGCTCAGATCAGGGTTACTCTACAATGACACCTCATGAGGATTCAGAAGCAACTGGCTTTTCTGTAAATGATCCAACCGTACTTTCAGATGATACAAAGTCTGATGTTAGTTTTCCTCCTCCGGCTAGGGTTAAACCACGGCTTATGCAGACAGATTTAACCATGACTGTATTACCGTGTGGAAAGAATAGCGTTATAGCCCCTGTGACCGTCCACAGAAACATGGAAGCTTCTTAGAAATTTAAAATCTACCTCGTTTGTATATATACGGTTTGTTAGTTTTGTAATAAGCTTATTTTCATTGTGATAATATTAATATGTTCGCCAATTAGCATAAGTTTTAGTTTTTTATAACTGGTCTAGCATTGACATTGTTTTCCTATATGAAATCCTATTAATTAATTTTGGTGCTGTATAAATGAAATACATAGATTTAATTTTATACACATTTATCGTCAATAGACAATTTTGACAACTGAGTTTAACTAATAATTAGCATATGATAATGTATGTTAGATTGCCATAAACGTTTTCGTATTTTTTTTCATGTGATTCATGTCCAGATAAATGATATATCCAGTTCAATGATTTTTATAAGAATTATTACAATTTAGAATTAGTTTTAATTGTGCAATTTTGACAGCTAATAACTATTTTTATAAATTTGTACTTAATTATAAGATTTGTAAATTAAATTAGTCTACATAAATGTAAAAGTAACGCATCTTACAGGAATAAATAATCCTAACATACAATAATTAAATAAAAAAATTGTAAAATTAAGTATCTTTTGCAGCTGTACTTAAAAAGAATATTTATGTTAATCGGCAATTAATGTTTACATTAATTAGTATATAATATACCTTGTAAATTCTTTTATACATACATAAAACCTTAATCACACATTTCACAATATGTGTACGGATTGAACAAAATACGTGTTAAATTTTAACTGGTAACTATAACGCTTTTAAAACATTTTCCTTTGTATTGTGAATGTTTGAAGTAATATTGTAATCGAAATCAATGTGCCAGTGCCTCCTGTATTATAAGCTAAGTGTATATTAAGACTGAATTTGATGTTGCATTTACATTGTAATACACTTTTTTTTATAAAACAATTTTTTTTTATGTAAACAGTGTACCTACATTGCTTACACCTAACGCCCGAACCCAATAATCAATCCACAATCTGAGATCAGACCGTGACAGACGATCGATCTCCCATCTGCATCCCAATAACCAAACCCTACGAAGACAATCCATTTTTGGCGACGGATAAAATGCTCTTTGTCATTCCATTTTACCGAGTTTTCACTTATTTTTGATAAATAATCAATGTGAACCAAATAAAGTAAATAAAACCGTACAAATAACATTAAAATATACATGTTATGTTAAAAACATAACAAACAGTTTTTTTAATTATTTAAAAAACTGGTGTAAGTTAAAATCTGTTAAAATAATTAACTGTTGAAATCGAGCTTTCGTTAACTGTCATTTTCATACGAAGGTCTATCCAGAGACACCGATACGACCTCCCATGGATAACTTGTATCGACAGATGGCTATTACAATCCGTCGATTGGTTATTGGCACACTTGTTACAACATATGGATTAAGATTACCTACTATCTCAGATGTTTATTATGGATTGAGATAGGTTATTAGCTTCGGGCGTAAGACAATACTTGCTCGTAAACTTCAGACGCCGTAGACTCAGTTATTATGTAACAACATCGTTTTAACCGGATTTACATATAAGTGGGCAAATTGCTGCTTTGAATACGGATTTTGATGTCGCACATTTTACTGGTACATACATTTCTAATGCTATAGCACCGCTAAGGATCGGTGATATGCCACGGAAATTAAAAAAGGCCAAAACTCATAATTTAGTCGTTTTATCAATCCATAAATATTTGCATTGTAGCCCAAAAAGGGAATAAATCTACGAGTATAATAATGATAAAGCCGGGTTAGGCACGCAATCTCAGCGGTGGTTTATAATAAAACAAACACTCCAATAAATTTTAAAAGGTTTATTTTTGTTCTCTATTCCTAAATCGTACGTAGAGAGGGTGAGTCGTCCGCAGCACCAAGTCGCATTTATAACGAATATCAGTTGTTTTAGTAACAGGATCCACGTGAAACCGCCTAATTAGCCCCGATATCAATGTTTTTATTTCCAACATGGCGAATTTTTGACCTGAAAAAATATTAATGATACAACGCTTATGTCTCGAACTTGGTAATAGCGTACATAGACAGAATAATCCATTCATCCACTGGGTTTAAACGCACGCAGGGTTGAGAATCGCATGATTAACCACCAGGCTACTTCTATTTCACTTCATTAGGAATACATAGCTTTTAATATAGTACAACTATATTATAAAGGAAAACTAACCAATACAATTCCTAGGTCCAGCACTAAACGGAATATAGGCGAAAGGATGGCGGTGATCACTGTTCTCCGGAAGGAAGCGTTCAGGAATAAATTTTTCTGGTTCAGGGTACAAATTGGGTAATCTGTGTACGTCATAAACACATATAATGCAGACAGTTTCCGCGGGTATTGTGCAGCCGTTACCTGGAATTCAACACTCGTGAAAGATGAACTTATTTTAAATCCTTAGTACACTTTTTTGACCCGGAATATTTAATGGGGGCTGGCTTGACTGAATTCGCCTGAGATTGACTGTTAATTTTAGTCTAGTTATCTATTATATTAGTATAGTTTATCTCAGAAGTAATAATAGACACAATCTCACATGGTTTCTATGGAAGCATGACAGCATGCTTAATTTTAGTCGTACTGTCTCAAACCTAAATATAACTTTTTGATAAGTGTTATTTTAGCACTAGAATTAAACGCAAAGGACGTATTAAATGACACGAAGATACTATGCAGCAAATTTCCGTATTTTGGGTCCATTTATGCTTATTAAATGTTTCGACCACCAGCAGCTTTAAGGTATTAACTAATACTTTCCTGGTACCAATCATGTTACGATGAAATTACAATTTTTGCATTTCCTTTATAACTTAGAGGCTTTTTTATTTCCAGATAATTTTTGCACGTCTTAGAATAGTCATGTTTATATACTTACCAAACTGCATTTCGTTCCTTATATATCGACTTATCATAGGCACGCTTGGATAAAGTCGAAGCGATTCTTTGATACAACATTCTAAATATTTCATTTCTGCTAAATCGTCCATCGTAGGTGCGCGATTCGAGTCTCCAAATATATGCGTTAATTCGTCGTATATTTTATTCTGTAAATAAATATTTTATTTTTCATATTTTTTTATATACCTTCCTTATTCGTTTAATGGGTATCTGGTTTCACAAATATCAACTGGGAACGATTATATTAAAGCTTGGGAGAATCAGAAACAGTTGATGAGCCCACTAGGATCATTGACACCTACCTGTACTGTAGTGTCATTAGCGATTTCTAGTATCAAAAAACAAAGAGCCGATGCAGTGGTGTCGTGTCCCTGAAAATAACAAGAAAATAATATGTTCAGTTAAAATATAAATTCACTGCAAGCTTAAAGTACAAAAAGCGGTTCATATTTAAGAACCGGCATCAGTTAGTACAGGTATTTTATTAAAAATGAATCAAATTAATTCGTTTATCGATGATTTATTTTTCTTAATAGGCAAGTTGGTGATCAGCCTTCATTCCACACGCTGTGGACTTTTTGGGATGCCGGTTGCCTCACTATGTTCCTTCATCGTATGAGCGAGTGTTAAATGCACACAAAGAAAGTGTTTGGTGCCGTGGTTCGAACCTCAGGGATGAGAGCCAGTCACACGCTGAATAAAGAAACCTTTAAAATTACATACAATTTCAACCGGACGTAATACAAACAGGCACTTGTGTACGGCGGTCATCAACGCGTGACGCTAGATAAATAAGCAGGAAACGCATTTTAAAGTCTATATACTTGCACAACATACATTAATTAATTGACCGCTTTCAATTGTTCCGGAATATAAAATTTATAACATTTTGAACGAAATCTCTAGCCAAGCATGTTGTCAATTCAATTTATAAACATGTGGAGGAAGTATGAAGTCTAACCACTGACTGATCGTCCGAAGGGCCCAGTTGCTAAGGTCGAGGAGTTATACATATATATATATATATATATAGTAGCGAAGATAAGATACATGTGGAAGAATGTGGAGGAGTCATTTACTCCGTCGGAGGTCGTCGGATGCACTTGTATTAAATATAATTATATAACAAAACCTTAATGCAACCTTAGTTATAGTATTAAGATAAAGACTATTTTTTAACTATAATGAATAATATATGTATTTAGGAATACCTAAAACTAAGTCGTAACAACCTACCTCGAATAGAAACGTATCAACCTCTTCCCGAATACCATCAACATCAATATTGCCGTCTTTCTCATTCTGAAGCAGAAGATCCAACATTGCCAAGCGCCCCTTTTTGGTATTACTATCATCTAAATTATTTTTAAAGTTTGCTTTCCTCTCATGTATAATTTTCATGGTGAATTTATGTAAATCTTTGACTATTTTGTTCAACAATTTCCCAGTTTTTGTTAAATTGAAAACCCAATTAATTCTGAGCCACGCCTTGCACGTTCTGTCGAAGAATATTTCGCCAATTTCATGTATAGCTTTGAAGTATTTGCTTGTCATTGTTTCTATGTCTACGGTCAATGATGTCCCCATTGTTGTTTCTAGAATATTTGAATAGCAGTATTATTATAGACCTCAACTTCTACAAACGAATTCAAAAACGAGCGCTTATTTTCGTAGCTTTAAAAATGTATTGCATTTCGACAGATGGGAGCCTTAGTTATTGCTAAGTCACGTTTCTGAATCTCACCCTAAGCTAATCGAGACTTCCGCAATTCTCAGGTATCCGCTAGTCTTATATTAATAGGTTTTTGTCATAGGTATGGGAGTAATAAACTCTTTGTCTTTGTTTGTGATATTCACCCTAATCTGAGACAAAGTAGTGATCTAAATGACTGTCATAACGTGACTGTAACTACTGACGTAACTGTCTTTTTATATAACAAAGTACCAAATGAAAACATTAATTATCTAAATAGAAAATTACAAGAGCTTAGGAGCTGGCATCGAACCAAAATAAGAAAGTAATGAGTCCACGAGCGGAAAAACACAGTTATAAATAGGTAAATTAAAAAAAGATAACAATCGTTCTATATGATCTATATTCTATAGATTCGTGATCGGATATATTTATACATTGACTTACACCTGCATTTGTAGCCAATGAGACTTAAATTCTTAAAAAAACTTTAAGTTAATAAATATTTATAGAAACACATTGTTTCAGTTTGGAAGGCATAATAACCAAATTGCGTCATGAGATAAACAGTTTCGAATACTTGGACCGACAAAGGTCTTTAAAAAAGATTTTAAGTCTTGTCATAGACTTACCACACATTATTTCCAGAGTAGACATAGTGATGAGGGAAATTAAATTCATATCTTTTCCAGCCTTAGCTTGAACCTTATTAAGGAACGCATCTGTTTGTTCCACGAACGTAACAGCATATTTCCTTAATATGTTAAAATGGAACGCTTGGGTTAACATCTTTCTTCGTTTGCGCCATTTCAAACCTAAAATTTTTTATTGACTATATCTAACAAACCCACTGTCCAGGAATATGACCAAATAATCAAGAAATTAAAGAAACAAAACGAAAAAATTACATATTTGTTGGGGCCGCTTACTTCATATTAGAATATAGGCATAAAATTATCTAATATATATTTTATTAAATTTTATGCGTGGATGTCGAAAGATTTCTCCAACCTACAGGGACGTTTTTCTAGCTGTCCAACCACAGGCCTCCATGAAGGCCCCTCTTTTTTGGAAGTGAGAGTGGCTCTTTTTTGGAATGTTATCTCGTTTCAAGGTATAACTTCATCGTTCTGATTGTACGTGCCATCCAGGCGGTTTCTCTTGCGTTAATATTTTGTGACGAGAGGGTCTCGTCCAACCGTAGACACGCGAAACTATCGTTCCATTTGACCAATGTGATTTTACTGGTAATTCAATTTTTCGAACTTAGAAATTTGACTTTCGACCGGAAGCTCTTTTTTTTTCTTAACAGATTGCATTGTATAAAACTGTGGTATATTTAAATTACAGTATTGCTATTTGCTTACCGTTGCTAATTAATAATCCTTCACGAAGCCAGGGCTTTAAATACGTGTAAGGTTCATCCTTCTCGTTGTATTTAGTGTTAGATAATATAATCTGAAATATCAAATTAATTTTCTAATGTACTTGATCACAATACTTGCTGCTTAAATAATGCTAATTTCCATATTCTTGAGGCAATTTTGCCGCGCAGCCCCACTTTATACAATCAGCAGAATCTCTGTATAGATAGAGATCTAATGCACTTGCCTAAGGCTCTCGTTGTTGCAGGTGTCCATAGGCGGCAGTACCCAATATAGCTCTTTTTCTACTTGCACGATTGTCATCTATTCTTATACACAACTTTGTATTACTGCCACGATTATTGACAGAAAAGAGTCAACTTTTGTCCGGTTATTCGTAACCATAAGGTAATTGCAAATGTGTTTAGTCTTAAATTAAAGTTACATTATAAAGAAACAGAAAAGAGACAGGTTTCCTTCTCCTGACCGTTCTGACGTTTTTTTGATGAGGAATACAGAAAAAATAAGAAATCATTCACTTTTTGTTATGTTATAAAATATTTCATCAACTTTAGCCCATTAATTCATGTTACTCAAGTAAAACATAATACACTATTTGGGAATATAGAAACTGTGATATATAACACGTATACACGTGGACATGCATTAATAATGATATATATCTACATAGTAAATATATTTTTAAAGCTAAAGCATATTTTTTCTACAACAAACGGACAAGATGCTCATTTGATGTTAATAAGGGCCGCCTAGGAATATAGTCTAGGAGTGCCTGTTTTATAATGCACAAAAACAAAGTTTTGTTTAATTTAAACCATAATTTGGAAATTAATAAATAAAATATTGAAAATTACCTCTATGTCTTCTGGATGATAAATGTTTATATATCTATAATCAAGCGCATTTAAACCAACCACAGGTCCGTATTTGTTATACAAAGATCTCGAAAACGAAAATAGTTGATCTAAAAAATATTGAATTCATTAATAAGAACGACTTAAAACGCAGTACATATTTTATATCTATTTACATGCATCCAACATCAAGTCATACAATCAGCTTGCCTTCTTTTAAAACTGCAAATATGGCAATAACATAAACGTGTTATACCTTTCTTGGACAATATATAACATATGTTATAAAACAGTATAACGGATATCTAAAGATGGATCTTGATCCTCATGAGTTTTATACATACTATATTTCCCTTCAACGCATTATATAGCGGAGTTGACATGCTAAGCTAATAAACAAGGTATTTATTAATATGCCATAATTTCTTGGGCAATTTAGTGTATTGATTTCAATTTCCCTAACATACATCGCTTATTAAAGGTTTTAACGAAAATATTGTGATTTTTTAATATTACAATTTGTACGTGAGCTATGTAATATTATTATTACATGGCTCACGTACATAAGGATTTTGTATTATCAGAATCATATTAATATTAAGCGCAGATAATACTTTATAGCCCAAGAGCCCATGGCCCAGACCTTCGTTATTATACTAAATTTCACTCGCACCCGCTTGTACAGTTGCTAGCTCCTGCTCTCACCTCCAACGAACGGCTATTGAGAAAAAATATTTTTATAGGTAGTAGGTAACATTAATTCAGATTTTATACTAAAACGAAAGTATAATTGTAATTTATTTCAGTTTAGGGGTGGGGCAAGCGGTAGCAACTGTAAACTTTTCCGGCAATGGATAACGTGATTTCCAAAGATATTCTGAGGAATATAAAAAAATTAACGTTATACTTTAAGTTATTTAAGGTACTATTATACACATCTTTACTAACTGTTCTAACCACAATCCAAACTCTATAGTCGCTGGAGACATACACAGAGAAACTTTCAGCTTTAATATAATGACGAAGGTCTGACCGTCGTGGTCTCTTGCAATATTTATTTTATTTGCCTACATATAAAATCTAAGAGATTAATCTCAAAAAGTAGAATATAAGACACCTGTAATATACATAAAAACATATTGATGATCATGATTTTTGTAATAAAAATAACTTACCAGGTGGTAAAACTATAGACCAACTTCTTCCAATAATAGGCCATTGAGTTGGACCCGGTATTTTTGCAAACAGCCTTCCTTTATAATTAAATCTATAGTAAAGGTCAATCAAAGCTAAAATAATTAAAAATAACACTACAGGAACTAGCATTTTTGAATAATTTATATTCCAGAATTATATACGATGTTACCGCATCAGTAATAATATTTAACTGCGCGTTGAAAGATGTATAATTATATTATATTAATAAGAAATAATTAAATACACTGAATAATCAACACTTATATGGTGCAATGCGCTAGTAGGTTGGTTCATAATGGTGTTCTTGGCTAAACAAAGCCATACCTGAAGGATACTAACTAAATACTTTAAAAAACATTGTTTAAAGTAAAGAAATTATATTTTTAAGTCTAAATAATAATACATGTTCAATGACAGATTATTCGATTACCTGTTTATTATGCAAAACTGAAAAACATTTGTTATCAACTAATATCATCATTTTATGTATATATTAAACGCTGATCCTAAGGCTTCATTTAATAATAAACAGTATTGTCTATGGAAATTTTCAATCCAGATAAGTTAATGGATTGCGTTATATTTATACATTTGATAGTTAACTTTGGGTTGTAACCGGTATACCATTGTATATGCTAAATTAATAAATCTTGTAATCAATACGCTTAACGTATTCTTGAACAAAGGATTTCTATTTTAGTATAAAGATAAAAAGAGTCAATAAAACCATTAATTAATAAAACATATTTATTCATCAAAACGTATATGTGTATGCGTTGGTTGTGGGGATGCGGGCGCCATATCGGGTGCACTTGACAAAGCTTGCGTACGCGCAAGTAACTTTGCCCGTCCACGCGATCGTTTGCTCGTACGAGCATTCTCAGCTCGCGTCCATTGCTCGTCTTCTTCAGTACCGCAGAGCACGTGCGCTCGACTGTCCGAATTTACACAGTACTGCCGAATTATAATTATGTATGATAACAATATAATATAAGAAGGAACAGTAAATAACCAAATAAGGGCCCTGCAAAATACCAAAGATAAAATATAATTGATGATGTCAATATTATATGACACTATGTATGTGTAATATTTTTCAATATTTAGTTAACATTTCGCATATCTATGGTGTAAATAAATATATTAATCAATATTCACGTTGACGTTCGACGTTAATCATGTGAAAGAAAACAAAAAGTTACAGAAAGGTAGTTAAGAATAAAATCTACACAATATACATGAACTTGATTTATTCAAAATACCTACACCTACACCTCTAGCTGTACACATCTCGGAACAATAGTTAAGTTGCGTTGAAATCTTATAATAGAAGAATAGGTTAGGTTTTAAAACCCGTCTCACCTCATCAGCAGCTTTAGCAGAGTCGAATCTTATTATTGCATCCGTCTGACCTTCCTTCACCTCCACGTGCAACGCGTGTATATTACTTTTTATCTAAAAAATATTAATAGCTTTTACTTTTTATATAATCGTTATATTACAGAGTAGTAAACTATTCAAGAGAAACGGCAGGAGAACACCAATCCAAGCTTTCTTGGTGATTATGCCATTAAATTGTAGCTTATGTGAAACGTTGGTACTTTCAACACAGCGCCATCTGTTAGAATTGTGACTATCAAATAATAAACAAATATTTTGCAATAAAATAATATTGCGGGTATAAATCGAGATGTAATCAAACTGCACACGGTGTGCAAATTTGATTGATATCGGTTCGGTAGTTTAGGAGTCCATAGCGGACAAACAACGTGACACGTAATTTATATATATTAGAAGACTAGCTGAATATATTATATGTAATTCCTTTTAGATTACTGACGTTATGCTACATTCTAATCTCAAATACGCAACTATCCGAATATTGTGAATATATCTTACCGATTCGACATTTATTTAAAAACGTTCTTTAATTTAGGCGAGAGTTTACTGTATCGACGGGATGAACATTAAATGTTTAAGTTACGAAACCCATGAACATTTTGTATTGGATTTTTTGTCTTTCGTTTAAATTTTCCAATGTTTTAATAGTTATACGTATTCGAATTTACTTTGTTTTATACATTAAGATTATGATAATCTAGTGATGCTGCAACCATTTATGGGTCGCCTTCTAATGCGTTTCATTATTATGCAAGTATTTTTTCTCACCGTACAAGCAAAAGCGAATTGCAAATAATTAATGAATTAGCGTTCCGCATATTTAACATACCGTACTAAAAAGATAATACAATAAATATTATATATAATTATTAATTATAAATAACAGATGCTTAATCAAGATTCTTCTGCGTACTTAAAAGGATTTTAATAAGTAAATTATAATAAGTCTTATACACTAAGATTTAACAGAGTTCACTTGCACTATAATTGAAAAATCAAATAACTTATTCAATTTTAAAATCACTTTTGGTTAAGGAATAGAGCGCAACCGAAACGAAAACAAAAGCAATATAACTTCAGGAGTAACATGCAAGTAATAAATTTTATCTGAAGATTTATATTACTACTAAATCAACTAGGAGTGAAATTTCATTAAAGGTGATATGAGAGACAAATCGCATTTACCGTTCTTTTAGTGAGTTTGACATCTAGACAGGGTTCCGCCAGCGCTTCCTTTACAAAAACTCCAGGAATCTTTTCAAGGGGCGTCTTTGTTCGATCTACTTGCTGTCCGGAGGTTGCTAAGGTATAAAAATATAATACAATCGGATCCTGTTTTGCACAAGAGAATTAATTTAAAGCCAGATATAATTGTATATGTTTGCGAAACTCCTACATAGGTGTATAAATATAATTATATAGAAGGTATGTCACCGTAAAATGCCACCTTGTTTTTATTAGGTTTGTAAAAAATGCCGCGATGTATTAAAAAAAAATTCAATTGGAAGCGCAATTATAATGTAACGGTATTAACAATTTCACGCTACATACAGACATAACCAAATCCTCCAATCAAAAGAATACTTGGTTTTTGCTTTCAATTAAGATATTTTTTAAATCATATACCTAAATATATTCCTTACTTATAATATGACACAATAACACTCGATATGCCAGGTGACGTAAACAAAAGACCGCGCAAAATGTTTATAAAATGTTATTAAGAAAAATAATTTGAATATTTTCCAAGTATAGTCTTGGATATAACATGTTTTTTCTGTCACATAATGTGGCAGTCTCTCGCTAACCACACTGTCGTTAATGGAAATGTCGAGTAATATGATATTTTAAATTATCGCTTGCTTAAATTTTAATTCAAATATTGTTACTTACAATTGTCGACTTCAATAGATGGCGCTGCCGGCGCCGGTATACCAGTATAACGCCTTTTCTCTTGTAAGCTTTGCTTCAGTTCTTTCATATATTTCCTTTGTAGATTTAAATATTTATTTCTTAACACTTTCCATTCTGTTTTGGCTAGGACTTGAAGCCCCCATAATGCACCTTTAGGTGCTTCGACTTTGTCCGAAGTTTTCTTTCCTTTTTCTTTTGATATTTTCTTTTTTGTCTTTTTCTTTCTTGGCGATCCATCTTCATTAATGCCCTCGTCTTGGCTTGTTAATTCCTCTTTGGAGTCTTTGACTATATCCTTATTTTCCTGTAAGATATTTTATTTTAAATAGTGATGATGTCACTTCGATGGTGTCTATACACGTTTGTTATAAGTTAGAATTAAAATCAACAATTTGGAACAACTGAACAGAACTGGACAAGAAACCCATCAAGAACATATAGAAAGAACGATCGTGTCCATAAATAAAGGCGAAATAATGCGTCATATAAAAAGTCAGGTAAAAGCTCAGGACCAGATAACAAAACTAACGAAGGTCTACAGGTTGGGCATCCAGGTCACATATCTGACAATACGATAATAGAATAATCCACTAGAGATTGACACCTACAGGCGAATCAGCTTGCTATCATATTTTCATCAATAACCCTGAGAAGAATAGCACAATAAATTAACAACAACTAACCAGTAGATCAAACAGGTTTCCGTCCAGGATATTCTATCGACCACATTTACGCTTTTGATCAAATCATAGAAAAATACAATGAATTCAACAAAACAATGGAGATTTTATTCGCAGACCATTCGAAAGCGTTCGACTCTATAACGCATACTTCTCATATGGAAAGAGCTCAAGACTATGAAGATAATGACAAATATATAAATATATTACAGAACATATACAGCAATAGTGTTAGTACAACAAAGCTAGAAAAAACAAGACCCACTTTCGCCAAAACTATTCATACCAGTCCTCGAAGATGTATTTCAAGGTATACAATGGAAAAATAACGACCTTTGCATACGAAACAAACCTCTAACTCACCTCCGCTTCGCAGCCGACATATCTTCTGTTGAACCGCCACAAAACTGGAAAAAATGCTTCAAACACTAGACAGCGAAAGTCAAAAAGTACACATTAACACTACAAAAACAAGAATTTTATCCAATAGCCTGTGCAACTCAATCAGAGTCGACAATTACCGAATATGTAAACGAAGTAGATAGTAGAATAAATGCGACATGGAAGAATTACTGGGCATACTTAATAATGGATGCAAATATTCTTACTTTATTTGACATTCGTAAGGCAAACATGGGTTTTGAGCAAGAAAAATCATGCTATCTTGCCCAGCATGCAATCAAACCAAAGCATCTTAAGTTGAGAAGCATAAATTTTTAATTAAATTTCGTAACATAACACAACTTACAGATGCACTATATGGCTTAAATGTAAATGAGCAGGTCATATGTATAGAATGTGGTATAAAAGATGGACATTTAAAACGACAAAATTTATGTTATCTACTGGAAATAGATCCATAGAATGATTACATAATACATTATGTAATAGAACTAAAGAAGAATAAGGCCATACAAATACAAACACCAGAAGTTATACTAAGAATTGTAAACTAAACAATTATTGTATGGATTAATTAATAAAGCTTTAAAAATAAATTATTGTATAAAATATCTTGGTGGTTATAGTTATACCTCTGTAGGGGTTGTGACTTCGTGTGTCTCAACATCAGATGTTACAGGATTCAAAATTGTCTTCTCTTCCTGTAATAATCGTTAAGTATTATTTTGCATTTGAACTGATAAATATAATATGACAGCCTGCCCAAATTTAATCAGACATTCATTATTTTTATGAAACTATTTGATGAATGATGCTACAGATATACAATTCAATGTATATAAAGAAAATATTGTCTGTATGATAATTATTTCATAGAATATGAGCATTTTATTCAATAACCTTACCATTGGTGTGGCTTGTCTTTTATCTGTATTGGATTCAGTTTCAAGTTTTAATTCCAAATTTTTTTGCTTTTTGTCTTTATGTTTCTTTGCTTTCTTTTTAGGTGGTTCTTCTTTTTCCTCATTCTCTTCTTTGTCTTCTCTGCCTTCTTTGTCTTTATCGTCAACAGAAAACATTTTTATAGAAGACAACTCTTCTGGAGGCATACAGGTGGGTAATTTACAACCCATTTTAGTAAATGCATTTATACATTTCTGTGCATCTTGAGGTCGGGTAAATTCTATGAAACCAAAACCCTAAAATTAAATAGGTTTATATAGATTAAAGTTCTCATAGTGTATTTGACTTTCGATACATTAACAAACATTCTCAATGTAGTCAGCAAGTTTCCAAATAGCAGAGGAACACCAATTTATTTATGATGCCCCTTTGTTATTTTATGCAAAATGGTTAAGACTAATAATTGTAAGTCAAACCCCAACTTGTTGTAGTCTTTAGGTTAGATAATAATGCACATACTTTAATTTTTTGTGAATTTTTGAATTTTGGCAAGGAAATGTATGCAACTTGTCCATAGTCAGAAAACACTCGCTCCAACCAGTCTCTACTAGCTGTCACTGGTATTGATTCGACATACACTGTTCTTAGATCTGCATCATATGGCACCATTGGAATTTTTCTTTTTACCTTAAATAAATCACTCAATCAATCAATAATCAATTTTTCATTAATTTTAAAGCCACCATGGCTTAGCCACTATGTAAAGTGTCAGGGAATACTGATTTCTTTTGTAGTATTAACTACACTACTAATTTGTATAATCAACAACAACCAATTAAATCAAAACCTAATTTAGTATGAATATACCCATATAGAAGGAAAACATTTTTTTTAACAACCTTAAGTTTATCTTCAGATAATTCCAAAACTGTGGAATTTTTCATAGACTTGACTATATCAGTAACATCCACTGTCATAGATTTAATCTTATTAAACTTGAGAAATACTTCCAATGGAACAAATGGATCAGTTGCAACTAAGTCTCCTAGAAATCTGTCTTTACTCAAATTTGCATCGCTAAAATAAAATTCCATTTGCTTCAAAACATTTTCATAAATCTTCTTTTTTCGATGGCGAACTCTTTTTCTAGGATTTGATTCATTTTTAGTTTCTTGCTCCATCGTTTCATTATTTTCGGACTCAGACATAAGTATACTTTAATATACGCCTTGTACTTATGAAGTAGCAGTAAAAATATAAAATAATGATAATACTAGCCGGTGTATTCGGCTTCTCTGATGAAGTGAAATAATAAAAACGAAAATTCAGATTTCTTACAGTACTTTTGCGTGTTGTATTAACTTATAACATCATTTATCATGGTCAGTGTTGACTAAAATAAATTCAAATAAAAATTAATAATAACCACAAAACTTAAATTATAAAATTATTCGTAGTACCGCGATACAGGACTTGAGACCTTAGACAAATTCTCTTTGGAACAGGCGTGACTCACCAACGTAGAGAATGAAAATGGTCACGTGACAAAGAGTGAGCTAATGTCATTACCATAAATTTCTTTGCGTTAGTGCCAGGTGAAAAGTAATTTTGTTTCAAGCTCACAATCTCTCATATAAGAAAATATATATATAAAATCACAGATAAGTAATATACTAGTCTCGATATAATATACAGGATGGCCAAAAAGTCGTGGATCAAACGCAAATAGGGGATAGATGAGGTCATCAGCGGCAAAAAATTGTTCTACGGGAGGTCTCTAAGCTCTACCCCTGCAGAGTTATGATTTATTTTGGTTTTTATATGAAAATTGACTTTTTTTTACTAATTCTTTTTAAAATTCGTCAACATTCTGTATCTTTCTCATAATATCCACTAGATTGGTACTGATGAGTTCTTGCGTTAGACATACTATTTATAGTTGTTTATTTAGTGTATTCAAGATAATATTAAGTGATACGATATAACATTTTTGCAAATCATAAATTTTTCTTTACTTCGGACCCCACTGTTAAAAAAAATTACTCCACCGAAAAGTGACTCTGTACTCCAAGTTTTCGCGCATTTAATAGGGATTCTGAAAAGGTATTACACATGGTCATGAGTCGCTCTAGTATCTCTTTATAATATTAGTATAGATATAAATATGAGTATGTTATAAACTATATAAATTATTTTATATTATAGGGGTGAAACTTAAATAGGGCATAAAACATTTAGAATTACATATTTGTCGAGGCCGAAAGTGACATTTCTATCCCCTACTATATTACTATTGCTTTGTGTTATACTTTATCTGTATTACGATTTGTGAAATGCGTATTGTAGTTTCGAGTTTCGACTTAAGTTTTCGAGTGGTTTTCGAATATCGATAGAAATTACGTATCGACTTTGACTTTCGTGCGAAATGAGAAGTTAGTGAGAAATAGCAAATATATATAGGGATTAAGAATTTAATAATTTGTGGTCCCATAACGCAAATTTATAGTTAATGTTCGAATCCATTCGGCATTTTTGGTTTCTTGAAAATCCAAAATGACGGAACGAGTCGTAGCGGTAAGACTACTTTAATAAACTAATTATAATTCTTCACAAGTACATACATCAGACGTAATATCATTAATTGCAACTTGGGCCCTTAATACAGAAGCAGCAGCTATGAATTGTGATATTGAGATGTTAGAAGCTAGGTGCAACCAACATTTTTGTGGCACAAAATACAAATGGGAAGTCGTTGAACGCCACCATAAACAATATTGTATTATTATTCATAATACACCATATTAAGTAAATATACGTTTAATAAAAAAGCAATATAACTAACCTCACCACCTACTTTCCTAGTCAGTCGACGAAAATTCTAACTGGTCAAACTTGGCAAAGCATACATACTTGCTTAATATTAAAAAATATATAGTTATGGTAGCAAAATATAATTTTTGATGGATCTTATTTTCCCTTAGAGTCGGCCAAACCTAGAGCAAATGGTGGCAATTATCGAATTCATGGAGCAACACCCAGTATTGGGACTCAGTCAGATGAGAGGTATGGAGGGACGAAATGAGAGCAAAAAGCTTTGGTTAAAACTCACCAGTATTGTTAATAATATGAAAGGTCCCACACGGCCCATGAAATCATGGGTAAAGGTAAATCTATTTCCTTAATTTTAAATGGCAAACTGACTGGAGATAAACCGAAAAAATACTTTATTCAGTGTTACATTCAGATGTCTGCTGTATACAGTTTTCTAGTACTAGAACTTATATGTTGCTGTTAAAAGTGTGAACTTTAAACAATATTTATTTTTTGCTCAATGTTAAATGAATTACCTAATTAATGTTGACTTGAAGTGGCTATGTCATTATTTTTGTATAAAAATTTGACTATATATTATACTTTAACAGTTTATATTGTTTGTCTATAAATACTTATAATAGCAGTAGACACTGTATAATTTCAGTTCTGGGCAGATAAAAAATCTACTGTAAGAGCAAAAGTTGTAACAAGTGGTGGTGATCCAAGTATTCTAGGTTCTAGTATTGAAAGAAGGATATGGGACAAGTTCCTACATAATGATTCTGGATATAGTAAGTTACTAGTTGTATTGATAAAGTTTATACATTTTCCTATTAAAATGAATCTAGACTAATTTGATACACTGATATGCCTAAAAATAATGTTTGAAGTCCTATAAACCACCAGTGAGCCATATTTTTTTTTATCAATCTTTCAACCTGAAACAGTGTTAAGGAACTAATAAATAGCTTATTATTTTCAGAACCCCGAAGTTCAATTAAAGTAGAATCACATTATATACCAGAGAACAACTATTTAAACGAAGAGAGTACTGAAGAAAATAATGATATCGATGATGAAGTAATAAATTTTGATGAACCAGCAATAGAATCTGTAGCAGATACTATGTCATTGGAGGAACGGAATATGATCCTTATGGAAAAACTGGTAATATACTTTCTTAAATTATAGACTTAAACATCCATTGGTTTATGTTTATTTATTTGGAAGGAACAAGTAATTTATATTAAAAAGTTTATAATTTTTAATTATAATTAAAGTATAAATGATATAGTTGCTGTTAATGTCAGTTAATTGATGGACCCAAAGGGTGTGATCATGTTTTAAATTTTTAATGTTGTTGTACCAAAGATTCACATAAAATCATAATAACTCCAGACATATCAAGAACTATATGGTTAAGTTGTTTAATATGTACATAATTATATTAAATAATGTCTATGAACTGGTACAATATGTAGAATCTACATGTTCTTTGTTAAATTTAACTAATGGTGTTGTTATAATAAGTATTATTATTTTTCAGGTCAAAGTGATGGGTGAACAAGCCACGGCTATGTCTCAGTTAGCACATGCTTCTCAGGTCAGCTCTCAAGCTATGGAGAGGTTAGCTGAAGCTTCTCAAATTCAGGTATATAATATTCGTAGATTCTGAATTATATAGCCATAAGTAAAAAATATTTTGACAACTGGAATTTCTAATACTAACTTCTAAAAAAAATTCTAAAAAATTGTTTGCCTTAATTTGAATGATTTTTCTGTATGATGGTAGTGTATCTCTAGTTACAAGTAGTAAGATTTCAATCTCAATCGAAACTTGAGATGCCTGATTGTAAAACGCGGACCACTTATAGTACCGTGTTTGTTGCCATGGTGACCATTTTTTTTAATGGAAAAATCATCGTACTATCTTCCAATTTTATAAATAGGATAATTAAATTTTAAATTAGTACTAGACTAGACATCTTAGGCTACGGGTACACTGCATGATATCGTTTTGAAGATTTTTTAACACGCCCGACACGAAAAAGAAAACGAGTCGAGGTTTTGGTAATCACATATTTGCTGACATTTTGTTCTTGATCGTTACGTTGGCCTGTAAATGCTGCTTTATTATTTCTTTGAATTCAATTATTATTTGCACATCCACTAAGGCGTGTGCGAGGAGTTTCATATATGCTCTACTGAAGTCTGTGCGTAAAGAGAACCGGCTTGATGTGACCTAATATAATTATTAAATTCATATCTTAATTCACGAAAATTATATACTTTTATATAAATAAAACTGATATAAATAACATTAGCCGGGATAATAGCAGCCTTATTCCAGTGATTTAGGGTAACGTAATGTCGCTTTTTCAGTCGCGAGCAATCGAACGGCTCGCAAACACATTCGAAGCAATCGGTTCTACGGCGCATCATATCGGAACTACCATTGTCGACATTGACACGACCATGAAAAGATTCTATAGTACAACGCCCACATAGCACACAAATGCACCTAGGTGCGCGTTTTACAGTAATTATGGATAAAGTAATTACTTTATCTAAAACCTATACTGCACTAACTAAATCACGTGATAATAGTTCGTACATAATACATACATTATATTAGCATTTTAAGTTACATTTCAGTACAAATAATTATATGAAACTTTAAAAACTTACACAACAGGGAAAATGCCCAGACGTGTTGCCAATAGAAGTGTTAAATTAATTTTTGTATTTATGTTTTGTCTAGAAATCAAATAGTTTGTTAAAACTAAAAAATGGGTAAATTAACACGAAACATTAAACAATTTTTAATCAGTTATTTATTATCTCTTAATTTGACACGATGTTTAATTATAAATTAACATACAAAATATTCATTTAGTTAAAATTGGATATTAATTTAATGAGGCTACTAGTTTCACTGTGAGCCTTTATTTTGTCGTTTTCTATTTATCTATACTTAGGGTCTGTTTCACAATGTTTGGATAAAGTACCAAATAGCTATGCAACACATAAATTATTTGGAAGATAAATTGTGCTATTTGACACTTCATCGTACTTATAACTTATGATGGACTTTATGTGACGAATAGCGCTATCTGACAGTCGTGAAATGCAACAATAGTGTTTATCCTACCAATAAGTAATAAATAGCTAATTTGGAACTTATGAGAACTTATCCGTACATAACAGACCCTTAATATATAAATAATAATATTAACTTAATCAATTTAATTGCACCCTTAACTTAAATACTATCGCGTCTCTTTCTAGCAACTTGTGTTTACGCTTTGAAGAAGGGGTAGACGAGTAACTTTAAAACGGTGCAATTACACTGATTTTTATGAATAAGGGAATATTAATAACTTTGAATATAATTCTTGGTTCAATATTAAATATGTTACAGTTTTTTTACATATAAAATACATAAATTAATGGCACAAATATCGGAAAGGCAAAAATATTCCTTTGGTAATGACATTAAACAATCTAAAATTATAAGTTTTCTTCCTTAGAACCAAAATTTTTCTATTTAAAAACTAAATCACAATACGCGTTGCTAACACACAAATTATCTTATTATAATCGAAAACCGTACCTATATCAATTTTCCGAATTGACATTGTCCTACATTAGGGCAATTCGCTTATCAAAAGCCCATCAATGCTTCCAGAACTCTGAAATCGAGAAATATAGTATTTATTTGTCTTTCTACGTTCCTTTTTATTTTAAGTTTGTAAATATTAAACTTAAAACTACAATTAGTTTAGAATTTAGCTGTTAATTAAGCGATAGAAAAAACTTTCGGAAGATCATGCTCACGATTTAATATGCACAATGTTATATGACTCGGAAATTTAGTACTTGTATATTAAACAGTATATACTGCCCAATTTATGGGGTGAATAAGTCCACTAATTCCACTATATGTTCATTGAGGTTTTTAAGTGTAAAATTGTATGTTACTACTACTGTGATTGTTGTAAAATATTATTTGATGTAGGCCAAAACGTTATTGTGCGTTTTCGCATTTCTATATTAAGTAAGTTAAGAGAACGGTATATTTTAATACTATATTTATTGTGAATATTGTCTTAAGACAACAAAAAATAAATAATGCAATGAAAAGTTTTGTGTTTTAGTCTCCTTGAAAAACCTTAAGGCAGGGTTCGTACGATAATCATCGTACATGTGGGATAATTTCATACCTAGGTTCGAAGGTATACTATCGTATATCGAACTTTGAGTATACGTCGAACCTATAAATTTGATTTTTTCAAATATTATTTTCATTGTAAATGACATGTTTTCTAGATTTATTTATACATATGATTTTTTTATATATTGTAGTCATTATCCAACTGGATACGATAATTTTGATCCATAATACGATAATTTGTAATATCATAATAATTTGTATTAATAATACGGTAATTCAGGTTGTGACAACCTGTGTCTTTGATAATATTAATGTATCCATATGTTACGTACCAATTAGCGGAACAATTTTTCTCCTTTCTATTGCTTAAACTAAAATTAGATTTAAATTAACTTTACGCTATTTTTTACCTTGTTAATTTGTTAATTACTACAATTAATAAAAAAATCAATTTGTATTTTTTTTTATTAAAAAAATTAAAATGTGCATTGTAGACGAAAAACAAAGTGACGTCTTTGAATTTTCATTACTTTCCTAATCACAGAAAACACATTTTAAGTAGTTTTTTTCAATCTTTTGAGTATTAATAGAAATTGAAGTGAGCCTTTTGAGTATTGTTATTCATTGAAGCGAGTGAGTTTAGGTCATAATGCCAGATCTGACTGAATTGCATGTCTCCCGAGCTATCGCTTTGCTTGAAGAGGGTCGAACTATGCGTTATGTAGGAAATGATCTAGGAGTAGCCCCTTCTTTATCTACAGACTTTGAAGCGATACCGTGAGACGGGAGAATACTGACGAAGGCGTGGTCAATGAAGAGAAAAACTCACGTTGCAAGATCGCTCATCGTCAACTTGCTTTACGTAACCCACCACAACTCAAGAGATCTACAAAATACACTAAGGACGGCCTACTGGTGTAGAAATTTCCGACCAGACGGTAAGAAATAGGTTGGAAGCCAATTTGAGATCACGCCGACCATTCGGGCTGTGCGTCTAACAATTCAACATAGACAAGCTCGCTGACAGTTCGCGCAAAATCACGCCAATTGCCACTTCGACATTGGAGGCCATGCTTTTTACTGACGAATCACGATTCCGTCTAAACGTTGCGATGGTCGTCTCCGTGTTTACAGACGCCCAGGCGAGCGATACAGTGCAAGGAATATGACAAATTTGGATGTGGCTCTGTGATGGTTTGGGGCGGAGTTAGTTTGGACGAGCACACAGATCTCGTCGTTGTTCCCGGGCGCTTGTGTGCTCAAACTTACATTGAAAATGTGCTCGAAGATCATGTTTGGCCCGCAGCATATGGTATGGGCCCAGATTTTCTTTTATGCAAGATAATGCCAGGCTGCATACTGCAGCCATCACGTCAGATTACTTACGACAGCAGGAAATCCGTGTACAGGGGCCGGCCCCTGGAGTGCCCTCCCCTGCGCCCGCCCCTGACCTAAATCCAATTGAACACATTTGGGACCCCCCCCTGACAGGCGCATCAGAAAGCGTCCGATTGCACCTCAAACACTGCAGCAGCTCACTGAAGCGTTGATTGAAGAATGGGGGGGGAATTCCACAAGAAGTATTCGGAGGATCATACAAGCATGCCGCGTGTTGTCAAGCCGTGATTAGGGCTCATGGAGGCCACACACGTTACTGAAAGTCACTAAAGACGAATATTCAAACGATATAAGATATTTCTTTGATGGACCTTTTTATCACCATTAGTTTTTCGTCTATGCCATTTTAATTTTTTTTAAAAAAAATACAAATTGTTTTTTTATTATTGTAGTAATTAACATTAACAAGGTAAAAATGCTGTATTTAAATCTTTTTGTTTAAGCTAGAAAGGGAAAAATCTTGTTCCGCTAATTGTTTTGAGCAGTATATATTACATGGACTGAATATTTATTTTGTGTTTTAAGTCACATAATATAATATAATTAAAACAAATTATCAACAAAGTTATGGGAAATAAGGTATGGGATGTATTCTATGGTTAAATTCGTTAATTAAATATATTTTCACATTTTAATATTAGTGTTACATATATATAATCTTACCCCATTAAACTTAACATTTCTGACACGTCTTCGTTTTCACTTGTATAGTTGGGGGATAACTCCACCTAGGCCTTTATGGTATGGAGACTGTCCATATGTTGATAAGTAGTAATTCCCCTGGGAGCTGATATACAAAATAATATTAAGCTTATATTTCAATGTTTAAACAGGTATACCATATTGGAAAATAATGCTATGGACTTGGGTATCATACCAGGTTCAGATTGATATTGTTGTTATTTATTATAGAATCTTTAAAATAGCTTTAATGGTGTCAATACAATTAACGACAATTTTAAGTAATAATACCTTATAATTTAGTTTTTTTTAAATTCATCCTTAGAGTAGGCTAAAGTCATACAACCATAAAACCTTAGTTATGTTCATTGTCTATGGCTACAGTGTAATTCTGATAAACCAACTTTAATGTAACAATGTGGAATAGACGATAGTAGATACGTCTACTATCCCACAGTGTCATTATTATTCTGCTTTGCTGATAAAAATATTAATCATTTTAAAAGCCTATCTATATTTAAAAGTCTATAAATTAAGCCGACGACAGGTTTAGCAACAATGATGCCACATGGGTTTACTATTTGGAAACATTTCTATACGGTGAATCCTTATTAATAAATCATTCACGTCAGTATATAATGACATGATCGTGAAGTGTCTAAGTAACTATAATTGTAATTTCAAAGGCTTTTAAATTATTCAATGGCTATCATTTGTCTACCTGTTTGTCAACGTTACATACAATTCTTGTTAAAACGAGTCTTGGCTCGAGTCGATAGTTGTCTTGGCTAGCTTTATAGGCAGCTTTGGAATCTAAAAAACTAATATTTGAATAGGATTAATCTCTGGAGCTATCGGCTCAGTGAAAATGTCGGCGTTTTTTACCCGAAATTACTATTTATAAGTGATGCTTTAGTGACATTAAGGGTCTGTTTCACAATGTATGGATAAAGTACCAAATAGCTATCTATGCAACACATAAATTATTTGGAAGATAAATTGTGCTATTTGACACTTCATCGGACTCATAACTTATGATGGACTTTATGTGACGAATAGCGCTATCTGACAGTCGTGAAATGCAACAATAGTGTTTATCCTACAAATAAGTAATAAATAGCTAATTTGGAACTTATGTAGAACTTATCCGTACATTGTGAAACAGACCCTAAATTGTCAGTTATATTTGTCTTGCCCTGTTTCAATGCGAACGAAGTCTCGCAAAAGCATATGTTTATTAGACAATTCCTTATTATAACTCTGAGGGTGCTACATCAACAGAAGTTATAATTTCAATTAATTAAAGTTTCTTTATCTATATTTATAAGTGAAACTGAAAATACCTATATATTTCACCTCTCAAACAGAATTTACTTTAAGTTAGGGCTTACCGAATGTTGACTAGTTCGCCTAAATAAATGATCTCGTTTGAAGGATTGTAAAATGTAACCCAGTTGTAATATGATATAGCTGAAACTGCAGGAAAATCAGTTCCATTCTTCAACGATTCCACAAAATATTCGATGGCTCTAGTGTGACTGCAGAGGTCTGTAATGATAGTGCAATGAACCACTGAAATTATTGGTAGCTTATGTACTTTAGGATTTCGCTTGAAATTTCATAGAAACAATTCAAATTTAATCGACGAGCAAGGGACTAAAATATAAATAAAGATGTAAATTGCTGAAGCAGTATAATAATTATTAACAGTAATTGATAATTATGCCATTATAATATCGGAATATCCATATAAATTCAGGAAAAGAATTTCTGCTAACTTCTTAACATTACCTATCACTAGCACTCTATTAGTCGATGACTTTGCAGTGTAGATACATTAATATCTGATATGCTCTCTTACCATCCCAACTGAGCTTAGGATGTAATCCTATGGGACATCCAGGTTGCAAACCAATGAAGGAGTAGTTTGGCCAGATGTCTACTGTACCCACAGACTGGGTTGTACCATAATGTCCAGGATTCGTATGGATTATGTCTACGAACCTTGCACAGGTTCGATCTAATCCGGTTTGAGTAGCTAAAATCCCTTCGAAGAAAGGTCTCGCTGGGTCCAAGCCTGTTATTCTGAAAATATAAATTACTATTTAATTAAACATTATTCTTAAAAAGAAATTTATATTATGAAACATCTATCATTATTCAGAAGGAATAATAGAAAATTGCATGTAAACGCATTACAAATTAAATTTCATAAACAATTTATGAGCTATGTTTGCCTATAACATTGTCTGTGCTTCATGCGATTAATACATAGGTATAAGTATTAATATATCTAAACTGTTATGGTAGTCGCGGTCAGCGGCGTCTTTATGACCACGAATTTTGTCAGCAATAGATTGTGTATACTTGAGGCAGGCAGAACAATCTTGCAAATAACACACTAAAACCACGAAGGCAAAGCTGCGATGGGAGCCGGTGTTGTGATAAATTGGAGAAGCTTTTTTATCTAGTGATAGTGTAGACTACTCTCAGGCCAGAGGTTGGTGATTAGACCACTGCTGCGCCGATAGTTAACCTTGGTATGACCACTCCATGCTCGCGAGTCCATCTTCCAGTGTAGCCCATGAGGTGCGCTCCAAGTGAATGACCAATGAGGTGTAGGGTGTCCATTGCAAGCCCATCATTATAAAGTTTTAATATTGCTGCGCCTAGCTTTTGACCTACCTGAAAAGCACAGTATAAAACTATTATGTACATTATAAATATAATGTACATAATAGTTTTATATAATTTATTACAATTTAAACAATTTAGTATATACCAAAAATTATTTTCTTTTTCAAGTGTCTGTTAAATATTAGCTAATGTCTAAGTTATCGCTTGTGTATAATACTAATAAAAATTATCTATTCATAAGTCGTAAAATTAATGATTGTCAAAATTTACAAGCATTTCTGAGTAAAAGGATAGGATACTACATTCTGCTTTTATAATATTATCTACTGTTATAATATGTAACAAACGATAATAATATATTTATCTAATGAAACGATACTGACCCATTTACTATTGGGTATTGCAATGTTGGCGTAACTCAAAGCTATGCCGAGAATTCCACGTTGAGCTTCCCATTCCCAGTCTAGAAGGATGACGTTTCGTTTCTTTGTGTCAATGTAAGCGTTTATTATAGCTATGGTGGACGGAGTAGTGATTTTCCCTGTGTATCCAAATGCATACACTACGGTAGGCAGAGATTTATCGAAACATGTGGATTTTAGTAAAGACGTTGGGTCATCCAGTGAGAATGTTGCGTAATTATCCATAGACCTAAAATAATTTATAAATACATAATAATTATTAAATAATACACAAATCAATAAAGAAATTTATATAACTTCATTGATTTTGTCACATATTATATTCCAAATTTGTCAAAATGAAATAATATAAAAACAAAGTACTATCAGTTTGTAATGAGTGATATATAATTCTTAGTACATTAATTAAGGAATAAAAAAGCATAAAAATATTCGAAATAACTTAACTCCCTTCAAAAATATTTTATTTATATGTTTTTTTAAAGATGATAATTCTCAAATTTTATGAGGTTTATCACAGACCTTCCTTTAGCCCTGTCATAATTTTTCAAAGATTAAGGTCGACTGGAAACAATCCTATTCTAATTAAACGATGTTTTACCTAAACCATTTAGTGGTCTTGCTTTGTATCAGACGCAGAGTCCTCTACACGAATATGTCCCCAAATAGTCTATTTTTACAACATAAACCTCTCTTTAACTTAGACTGGTTTTACCCCTTTTCAAAAAAATTAACCTCAACCCGTATAGACACTCCCAACCAAACCATTATATGATGATGATGTCATTTCACTTAATTTATTTTCAGCTTTTCAGAATTTACTAATTATAATTCTGTTTATTGTACTTTTTATATGAAAAATTTTTCGTCCTAAAGAGGATATCACTGTCGGTTTTTCGCTACCCTAAACAACACCCCGATTCTTAAGCCTTATTCTTTTAGACGAGCATTAAGTAATCCCACTCTTTTTGTATGCTCGTAACCAAATTTCATTTAAAACCTTTTTTATGTTTTCCTACTGACACCATCTCAAATCCATCAACTTCTGTTTTCGGAAGGATTTCTTACTATCCGCGCCTTGATAGCTTTGATTACTGCTGGTGTTCTTGCGGAGCTCCAGCCAGTTCTTTTCTTGTCCTCAACACTGAGACTTCAAGGTACCTATCAATATACCTACACAAACCTAAGCTTATATTCAAATTTTTGAGCAACTTGAAAATGGTACTCGGCGAGTGTCCACAGCGTCAACCAATAACAACTATTCGGTTTACTTTCAATGTCCACTCCATCTGAAAAATTACGGAAAGTTATTGTTTTTTGTTTTAAAACAATAATCAAACATTCCAAAATAGAATTAATATTTTTTTATAAAATCCTGCTCGAAATGTAGAAATAATGTGCTAGTGACGAATTTGGGACCAACTACGTATATTCGTAACCTACTACCTAGTTGTACTTATTAGGTTCTTATAATAGAAATAGTAAAATAACTTTATTATTTAATGTTATCTGCAATCAGTATTTGGTAGGTACATACGTATAAGATGAAAACTTATATATAAATAAATAACGATGTGTTCATATTACAGCAAGTAATATTTATTTGTATATTTATTAAAGAGGAAGTCATGAAATTTGATGTTTTTAGTTTTACCTAGTCGCGGTGCAATTTTGTTTGATGGTCTCGAATATTTCAATACTTACACTTAATTCTAGTTTTACAACGATAATGAACTTTATATATCTCATATGAATAAGAATTAAAGAGCCACATTCTAATCTCTGTACAACAGCTCAGAGTTACTTCGTTGGGGACGTCGAATAGCTATTTCTTTCATTCGGATACAAATATATTATGTACCTATGGCTTAATTCAGTTCACGGAAGCAACGCAACGACCTAAAACAGCTTGGCTGAAATGGTTTGGTTTGAAGAGCTTGCTGTCAGAAGTTCTTTATAATAAAACTTATTGTTCTTATACAAAAACGACTTATAGGTTAAGATTTAATAGAAATTAAATTTAGTTATTAAAATTAATCTTAACTGTTATTGGTAGAGGTCGAATAAGAAGTTAATAAAAACATTTTTTGAGGCACCAAGACGGTTGTTTTTTTTCATACTTAAATAAAATAAAAATTAATTATTTAAATAATTGTATTGTTTCTTTTTATAATCAGGTCATTGGTCTCAACATAATATGAAGTTGATGGCAGCATATACAAAACCACGAGCAACCATACTTTATTTCTAATAATTAATTAAATGATTATTTTGTTTATGTGAATGAGGAGCAAATTATTAGATCTTCCCTACGAACACATTATCTTATACACGTACAAGATTTTGTTACTTCAATTTAAATGCAAAGTGAAAAAAAGTGAAAAGGAGAAAACACTAAACAGCTATTTGAGGCTTTACTACCTATACGTAGTTGGTCCCAAAGTTCTGTCACTAGCACATTATTTCTACATTTCGAGCAGGATTTTATAAAAAAATTATTGCATTCTATTTTGGAATGTTTGAGTATTGTTTTAAAACAAAAAACAATAACTTTCCGTAATTTTTCACGATGGAGTGGACATTGAAAGTAAACCGAATAGTTGTTATTGCGTTGCACCGCTGTGGACACTCGCCGAGTACCATTTTCAAGTTGCTCAAAAACTTGAATATAACGCTTAGGTTTGTGTACGGTACTATTGATAGGTACCTTGAAGTCTTCAGTGTTGAGGACAAGAAAAGAACTGGCTGGCCACGCTCCGCAAGAACACCAGCAGTAATCAAAGCTATCAAGGCGCGGATAGTAAGAAATCCTGTCCGAAAACAGAAGTTGATGGATTTGCAGATGGGTGTCAGTAGGAAAACAGTAAAAAAGGTTTTAAATGAAGATCTTGGTCTACGAGCATACAAAAAAAGAGTGGGCACTTACTTAATGCTCGTTTAAAAGCAATAAGGCTTAAGAGATTGCGGGTGTTGTTTAAGCGGTACGCGAAAAACCGACACCGTGATATCCTCTTTACGGACGAAAAATTTTTCGATATTGAAGAGAAGTACAATAAACAGAATTATACAGTGTACGCTAAGAGTTCTGAAGAAGCTGAAAATAAAGTTCCAAGGGTGCAACATGGACATCATCCATCATCAGTAATGGTTTGGTTGGGAGTGTCCTATTACGGGCTAACTGAGGTTAATTTTTTCGAAAAGGGGGTCAAAACCAGTGCTACAGTGTACCAAGAGACGGTTTTGTATCGCCTTGTCAAAGACATGTCCAGCACCCTATTTGCGGGACATCACTTCGTGTTCCAGCAGGACTCTGCGTCTGCATACAAAGCCAAGACCACTACTTTTGTTTTTATCATTATTTCCATTTATGACAGAACTTTGGGACCGACTACGTATAAATAATGAGGTTAATTTTCGTTTAGATAATGCACCAAAATTCTATGTAATAAGTTAAATTTTGTACGGGAAATCGTTGTTTATAGTGTCAAATATATTAACTGCAAGCATAGTTTACAGCAGCAGCTCTACATATTAGTTGGCCTAGTGGCTACAGCGTGCAACTATCATCCCTGAGGTCTCAAGTTCAGTCCCGGTCGTGCGTATTTATCACTCCCTCGTACTGTGCAGAATAAGGATGCCGGCACGTGTTAGACCCAGAAAGTCGACACAGAACGGTCATTACTTTCAGAAAAAAAAAGTTCGATAAAACTGAGGCCCAGAGCTGAAAACTTGGAAGTGTCACTGTTTTTTAGGCGTAGATTATAAGTATTTCACGTCCTTGTGTCGTTTTTGTAGTAATATTATAATAAATATTATATATATTTATACTTTATTAATGTTTGTTTTGATTGGAATTTGCGACTAAATTACTCATTGCAAATTGCAATGTTTAAGATAATATACAACCCTATCTTTACATAAATATTGACTTTTAAAATTATCAACATCCTCGTGACCCGGCAATGTGACCTGAACTTACTTCATTATTTATAAAATAATGAAATTACAATATTGCTAAAAAAATATTGTATTGCTGTAGATAACAATAATAAAAATACATGAATTTGCATTTCTTAATAATTAGCATATAAATGATCAAAATAAAACCGTCAGTATCGTCTGTTTGCTTTCATATATAAATGTATGATAATATTTTTTTACCAACGTTTTACAGTAAATAACTTGGGTTAGGAAGTACACCAGACATAACCGAGGAAGGACGTGTGTGAATTTTAATAATGTAGGTTATGCTATATTTAAATTTAAAACTTTAAGGTTTCAGTTATTGTATGGTAAAGGACAAAAAATAATTCCAGCTTCGTAACGCCATTGCGGATTGTGGTCTATGTAAACTAAAGTGTTTATGAGTTTTTTATAGGTCTTTATGAGGGCCAATGTTTTTAAATTATTTTAAAAGGGCTGCTAAGACCGTAAAACATACTGTAAATTCTACTGAACTATGCATCTAGTGTGTGTTGAATTAGTAAAAAAAAATATGGTTTAAAAAATTATTTAATTAAGTGATGAAAATGAAAAAAAACGTCAAACAGACACTATATAAAGCCGTTTATTTTATGTTTGTAATTACGACGCAGGGACGACCTCAGGGATGAGAGTCGCATTCTAAAGCCACTAGGCCAACACTGCTACCAATATATATAGTTGCTGCTCTAATCTACGCCTGCAGGAAATTTATTCGATACTATAGACAATGATTTCCTGTACATAATTGACCGGATTACATACATGCATTTGGTGCATTATCGAAACGAAAATTAACCTCATTTTTCATAAACTTTACACTGTAAGCCTTAAATAGCTGTTAAATGTGTTGTCCTTAACATTTATTTTTATCAAATTTTGTTTAAAATGACGTAACCACTTACGTGTGTAAAAGGTATATAAATAAGACCGTTCCTAAGGTCCTGACTAAGGAAGACCAAGCCGCAATAATTAGCTACTAGGGACAAATAAAAAATCCAAAAAAAAGAAAATAAATAGGATAAAGAATACAAGAAAAGGTAAAATGTGCGTGTAACTTTTGTTATTTTATTATATTTTGAGCTTTAATTTGTCTTGAATAAAAGATAAACGTATTGACATGTATATAATTGATTTTACATATATAGGTACGTATATATAATTGACATGATTTGATTGTTACAAGATCATGTTAAGAATATTTTATAACTTTATAGACTGTTTTATAGAGAACAGCATCAGGT